CAGAATATTTCGCGTTTTTACGATTTCGGTTCGACTTGAATAATATTGCAAAAATTATTATGATGGCCATTTTTCAATGAATACTCGAGAAATGTTGATGAAGTCGTAGAAAATACAATACAGGGTGTCTCACAATGTTCAACGAATTTTTATATCTCTGTTAATATTAAATTTTAAAATCCTTTTTTTTCTGTAGGTTTTCCTTTCGGGGAGACACATATCCAGAGAATAATGGAATTTTTATTAGCACCTCCTAATTACTAAAAAAAATTAACTTTCATTTGTTCAAAATCTTCAAAAATTCCGATTTTTAAAAAATATTTGTCTAAAAATTTTAATCTAACATACAAATGTATATCCGACGAATAGTTTTTTAATCATAGACGTTTTAATGTCTAGAGTATGTGTGAAAACATTGTATTCAATTGACTGCCACATTACGCGATAGGGAGTCGCAATAAAACTGTGAACTTTTTTTTTTTCACGACAAACGGATTTTCATTTTATTTCGTTCCTATTACAACGGCTATTACTGAGAGACTATTGACCGAACATAAATACGTGTGGTGGACGGTGGTGTATTACAATTTTTAGAATAATGTCTTTTACGAATTGGTTATGTTGAAAAATTAACAAATAAAGTTATTATTATTATTGTCGTTATTTTATTTTTAATAATTAGAAGGGTGTAAATTGGAAATTAAATTAGCTCTCTATATGGGTAACACTCCGACACAAAAACTGTTTTCCTTGTTTAGGAAAAAAAGAAAAACAAATGAATCGCCACATGAAATTTCGTAGACTCCGTGGTGGGACATTCTGTATTACAGCATACAAGAAAATAACACAATAATCGGCGCGCACATTGTATACGTATATTATTTATTATTAATAAAACATCGCGTGTATAATTTTTTTCTATTACGCGAGTCTTTTAAGTCTTCGCTCAGCACGATATGTTTTTTTTCTTTCAAGTAGATCGTCAGGTAGTGGTCATTTCATTGCATTTCAATTTTTTTTTTTTTTTTTTGGCATTCAATAACGGCAAGCGCGATAATTCTCGGAACGATAGTGTTAACCAGACGCATAATATTTTATTATTCATTACACTGTTGCGGACCTTGTCTAAACTACACAGCGACTTTCCGTTACAGAAGTCGACATTATAATATTCGTTTTGGAGATTATAGAAAACACGAAGGATTATAGATTTTTTTTTTTTTAAATTTAATAATATTTTGTGTCTCGAATACTTACTATGTCTACCCGAATAAGTTGCCCAATGTCAACGTGAAATAATACGAGTACTATCTTAAAGATTACAGTTATAGATATTTGAATTAATTATAATTAATTTGGTTACTTTCCTGGGACTACATTTTTCCGATTGTTCGTTTATTGCAGAATTCTCGCTTTAACCGAAAATTAAAATCGAATAAATAAGTTAGAGATGAAAAATAAGATGGATAGATAAAATATCCGACTATGCCTGTCATACATACTTTTATAGTTTTTGTACATAAACCTTGAAAAATAGGAAATTAAAACAAATGAATCGCTCAAAATCTAATATTTTCAAAAAATTGTTTTGTCAAAATTTGCGGTTTATAATGTTTAATAAGTTGATAATGTGTTAATTCGGTGGTAAAAAAAGTAAAATGCATTGTTACAAATTAATATTGTTCATCTTCGACCAGTTCATAACTGAACCTTTAGCAATAGTAATTATAAATTTAATAACAACATGCGATAACCGTTTTTTTTTACTATCAAATAAAACGAGTATTTGTTTGCACTCCGAGATGTCAAAAGTGTAAATACGCCTCTGCTTAACTAGTTGAGGTAATAATATTAGTTAATCCGCATCCACTGTATCGGTCTGAATAACGAATTTGCGATTTGTAAATAGTTTTTGATTTTTTTTTTTTTTTTTTTTACGCACAACCCTCGGAAATTTCCTTCCCTTCAAAATGTTCTCATTCGCGTTTGAACAGATAAAACTCGGAAACAAACGTCAAAACGTACGTAGTAAGAAACGCGATTTCGCTAAGCGTAATAATGTTGCTCGTCAGTTGGAATGCAGGAACGAGTCATTTTAATGTAAATATTATATTAATATGCATTATACACGGCGTCCACTTAAAGATAAAACAAAAAATTAATTTATTATCTATTGTTTGTGCGCCCATCATTGGTGTTCGATATGCAATAATAATTAATAATTCACGAGGTTAAACCGACGATGAAATCGTAATACGTACAATATACTCGTATGTAATAATATGTACAATATGTAATCGTAACAAATTATCGCAACTGAAATTCCGTTAGTGCGTATAATGATTTTTGTAATACGAAAAAATATCTCGAACCGTGCTGAAACAACAGGAATCATAATTATTGATAATTGACCGTGATATCGTGTAAAAAACAATAATAATAATAATAATAATCCGCTGTTCTCGCGTAAATACACAAATAGTTTATACTGTATAATATAGTTGTGCGGTTCGACATTATAGAGATAGCGTTTTTAAGCAATCGTTAAAATAATATTGCCGTTTGTTTATACGTATACACTGTAGAGCGCGGTTTTCGAGTGTGTTAAAACAAATTTGTACAGGCAATACATTCTATCGAGGCGGAACAAGTTCGATAAATATTAACTCAGTGAAGCTCTCAAAAAGCATTTAAATATAATTAAAATTACCACAAAAATACGAGTATATAGCCACAAAATAAAACCGCCAACTAATAAGGAATAAAGCGAATATTTTTTCGTAATCCGTAATTCATAAAAAAAAAAAATAATATTAAAAAAATGGGAATAATATTACATATGTTAAAATCTCGTTTCTTCTGCAGTTACGCGTGTTATTTTCGTATTTTTTATTTTTTGAAAATGTCATCCTGTGTAACGTTATGTATTATGTATGATTGTGCGTCGTCGTATATTATAATATTCGTGTACCTATAGTTATTGTTCCTCGTTCCGATATTATTATAATCGTATATCCGGTCGTCGTGTACCTATACAGAGTGTTCAATCTATTCTTGTACACCAATTATCTCGGGGAGTATTAACTTCAATCGGAATTTATTCTATGGAACATTTGAATAACTAGCAGTTCTACAATTTTGCATTTATGTTATTTTTCGTTGCCTTTATTTTCAGGGGTAAAACCACTACTTACTTTTGATTTTCAAACGGCGACCCACCGTGAAAATTCCATAAACAGATGGGACATTAGTTAAAATAAATTTTGATGTCGAAATTCTCGATTTCCGTTTATCCGTTGAAAAAATATTTCTACAAAACAAATTTCGAAAAAAATTCATACTTTCCCTAGATAACGGGTAACTGACGATAGTTTGATCGCCCTGTATGTACGGATATTGCGTATTCGCAGTGCGCGGCGCGTATTGTGCGCAGCGCGGACCGTATAGTTTCCAACGGAGGAATTTATGAAAAATATATATTTTATATGGTAATGTATAACAATAATAATAGTAAGAAAATTCGCACATCCCGTTCCACGAGTAAGTAGTCGTGTTACGGACCCGGACACGCGGCGGCCGCCGCAGAAAGAGAAATCCGGTCGGATCGGTCGGAACGATAAACGGACTGCGGGACTCGGGCGCGGGCGAGCGCGATGTCCTTGATACCACTGACAAAGAACAATAACAATAAAAACTTCTGGTCGGCCATACGGATCCCGAAGACAGCAACAGTAGTAGTAGTAGTAGTAGTAGTAGTAGTAGTAGTAGTAGTAGTAGTAGTAGTAGTAGTAGCCTAATAGGAATAGTGGCCTAGTAGTGGTGGTAGTAGTAGTAGTACATACGTATATAATACCATACCAGCCCGTATAATATATAGGTACACTCCCGCAGCAGTACGCTGATAATTGGATCGCGCTCGCGTTTCGTTTTATTTTATAATATCACACTTCCGACGATGATGACAATAATAATAATAATATTTATACGACAACGTCGTGTAAATGTCCGTGCTCCCTCGCGTTTGTGTTATTACGATGTATCGTTGCGTTTTTCTCGCGCGTCCACAGCGCACAGCGGCAGCCCTCGTACGCGAACGAAAATAACGTCCGTGTACGTTTTATTTAAAAACGCATAACGCGTTTATAACCGCCGTCGCGACGGACCGGTAATATCCCGATGAAAATAAAAAAAAATAATAATAATAATAATAATAAAAATGAAAAAACACCCGCAGCTTTCGCGCGTCGTTCGACATCATATCGATGAGTAATACGATTTGCCGAACTGAATCGAAAAACGTTCCGCTGCTGAAAAAACGCCATGGGACGAGAATCCATTCCATATATCCCCCCTCCCCGTGAGAACGCCAATGATGATGTCATTGATGTCACATGATGCTGTGGGGAAATTGTTTTTGTCAGAATAAAAGATAAAATACCGATTATGAATAAAGAATCAGAAATTCAATTTTCGATGTGTTATCTAAAATTCTAAATATATTTATATATACGGACTCATGAATGTCTTTCCGTCGAAAAGTTCTACCGTGCCAAACTTAGCACGCGTGCCACTTATTTGCCATCCCTAGCATAGATTATTAAGAATCGGATGGGCAGTGTCAGTCCGGTCCACCCAGCGACCCGGTGATCGGCGGGGGCCCTTGGATGAGAAAAATGAAAAAATTTAAATCGGTAATAAACAAAACGTAGTCACGTTATTCGTATTCCGGAATGAGTTTGTTCGCGCACGTTTGGCCAGTGGAGGAGGTCAACTCTCACTAGAAATCATAAAACAAAATATTTAGTACTTGATTTGCCCTCCCCATTGAAAATCGTAAACAAATTACTGTTACAAGTACAATTACGGTATCAAAAATGAAAAAAAAAAACACCTAAAAATATTGTAATAATATGAATTTATTTGTATACAATTTTTATTTTTATTTGTTAAAAAAAAACTGTTACAATATTGAAATTGTAGTAGGCATATTACTTTAATTCTTATATACTTGCCGAAGTGAATAAGTATTCGGTTTCGTGATTATCATTCGGAACCACTGAAATTATACAAATATTCCACATTAATGAGGTACAAAATATAGTTTAATAATTATTTAACATGTTGAAAGTTACAATAATAGTTAAAATCCTATTGTAAGGTAGGTGAGTTTTCGAAAATAATTCATTTGATCAAGTTTAAATTTGTATAAATCAAAAAAATATTTCGGTTATAAGTAAAAAAAAAAAAAAATGTAAATGAAAATTAATATTAGAAGTGTAAAAATGCGTAAAAAGCTGCTGACTTAACTGAATTACATTAGAAAAACAAAATTTAAAATATTAAAAGAATTATTTTCGCAAATTTTCCCGTTCTTCATACTTATTTTTCGGGTTTGCTCAGTTATTAAAAAAAAAAAATATAGAAAGAAAATCAAAAAAATGACTTTTTGAACGTCGACAAGATTAAAAATGAGACATAAAAGACCTGGAGTTATGTTTCTGAAAACGGAAAGCGTAAAAATTTTAAATAATGAAATCGTTGCACAGTAATTTGAAAAAATCGTATTTTTCGTTTGTTTTGGTTTTTTCCGAACTATTATGAAAAATACTCTTTAGACATCAGAAATCCACTTTCTTTTTCAGTGACTCTATACCAAAAGGAACGAAATCTATCTCTTGTGAGCTTTTGATTGGAGTAATATTTCTGATTGAAAACACAAGTTTGACAAATTAAAAACAATAAAAACGGTAACGCCGTAAATATTTGCCGATTTACATATGATTTTCTTTCGGGTTTTTCCCAATTATTTTGAAAATCTCTTAAGCAATCAAAAAATGGTCTTCTCAATTCACCACCTGGTAAAATTACCTTTCAGAAATGATACTACATTTGTTACTACTGAGCAAGTTTTCCCGATAGAAAAGTTGTTCATATACCCCCGTCTCAGAAAAAAAAAAAAAACACAGTAAAATTAATCGATACCTCGCTACGCTCCGGATCTAGAAAAAATCGACGCAGTTATTCGTCATCAACCCGGTAGTCAGCTACTAACCATTTGTTAGTCGAATTTACGTTGGTACCGACGAGCTAAATGAACCTAATAACTATTGGGTTACTTAGGTTACTCAGGGATATATTTTTAATAGAATACACAGCTGTTCTTACAATCAAGCATTTTACGGGGAACGCCGTCTGTCGCATCCGAATGGTATAATTTGTTGACATCTTGGGTCCCCAAGTCGGCAATCGCGTTCGCTGAAACATTACGATTATTATTGAGATTTCGGACGATCGCGTTGAACGCGTAATTAATTACCTACACGTAGCTAACGTGTACCCACTTAATGATGGCATGGTTTTTATTCCGTTCGCGTAACGAAAATGTCCACGAAATACAAAGCAACAATGCAAAAACAACCAATTTAACTGCAGTGGAAAAAGAACACGGTTTTTAAGGCAAGAGCAGATATCATAATTATTCGTCTATGTACAGGTGTTACGACCGTGTATCCTTTTTACCCGCAACTCCATAGTTCATAATAATTATTAACCTAAATAAACAGTAAAAGTAGGTACTAAGAGAAAATTGTTTTTATTTTTACAGAGTCGTTAAAAGAAAACCGATGAAAACTGAAACTTTATAAGTGTATAAACGTACAAATTCAATTTTATTCGCACTTTTATTATTTATTAAAACAATTGTTTATTAAATTGCATTTGAAATACGAAATAATAATTTAATTACATATTTGAGTGCAGCATATAACTTTTTTTTGTGCATATTTTCGCGCATTTTTCATATTATTTTAATGCACACTTTCATTATTGTCACTGCAATAAGTCCCGAACTCTAATGATTATTAATATATATCACATTTTTTTTTTTTTTTGAAGATTATTAAAAGTAAAAGAATTGACCGTTTAAACACATCAAACTACAAGTACTCGTACATAAAAAAAAAAAAAAAATCACGCACATTTTTTTTCGGAAGCGACTACTCGACCGATTTCGTTGTAGCGTCTATTGGACCAATATTGCGTCTATGATTATTCGGGGCTGGGTTCACAATATTTCCGTTGATATACGTGCAAATTTCCTAGCGTATATTCGGTTGTTTTTATTTTTATTTTTAATAATCGGATATCCGGATAATTGAAATGGCCGAAATCCGAATATACTCGAATATCTGGAATACTGGGACATGTTTGGTATTCGGATTTCTGTATTTTAAATTTTTTTTCAAACATTTATTTTTATCGTGATTCGTGGGATAAATTCGATGAGACTGGCTCTTAGTTGTATAATTGTATATTTTATCAGCGTGATTTTTGAGGGTTCAATAATCATTATTATATGCGTAACCATTTATAACTCAAATATTCTCGATTATATCTTATGAATAATCGATTAATAAAAAGATATCCGAAAGTAGATGTACACACGTGTATTATGAACATCAAAATCCGGATTTTAAAATATCCGCTCAGTTCCAACACTAAAATATACGGCGTAATAGTGATAATAGTGTAAGCGATACTCACCTGATATACTCGCCCCGTACGATAAAGTCCTGAGCAACACTATTAAATATAACAGTACGCAAAACCAAGTATTTTTTGACCCGACCATTATTTTTGATACTGTCGAATACTAAAAAAAAAAAAAAAAAAAAAAAAAATATGAAAGATGAACGTTATATTTTTTTCAGTGATTTCGCTGCACAAACAATATGGAAAATAACTAAATGCGTTCACACAATTTGCACAAAACCACATATCTACCTATACCTACTTTTGTCACCTGATGAATAATTTATTATACTGAAAAGTATCTATTCAAACGTGTGAAACGTATTTTGTCAAGCAGTGCGTGCAGATTGAAATGTATTCAAGATATTAGAATTATTTGTAAAGTTAAAATTTCTGAATGTATCAGAACTCATTTACCAGAACGATATTTTACCACGAAATTCAAATCAAGTTTCAAATAATTCACCGCTGATACTTCTGCGTTCGAATGATTTACAAAAAACCTAAAGCACACATACCTTTTTATACTATTGGTATAGTCGGTAGACGAGTATTCGTGTTTACATTCAGTTGACGCACTTAGAAACTACGCCTGTTTATACTTGCATATTTACATGTTATGTTCAATTTCTTTGGTTTGGATACACAAGATTACCAGTTGCAACAGAATAAATATATTCTGCGTCACAACGTTTTTTATGTACTTATACAGTAAACTTTTAGTTATTATATCGTAATGTTATGGGTTTTTTTTTTTTTAAAACAAATTATTGTTACAGCTGTTATACCTGCACCTATAAGATGTCTGTTGAACTATATTTACCTTATAAACATGCGGGCTCGGATTTTGTAGTATATAATTACATTTTGCTTTTTCACTAGGTTTTCATGAAAATTCCACCTATTTCTATGCAATTTTATTACATTGCCAGATTGCCTATTATTTTATCACCAAGAATTAGTCAAACTTTATAGTTTTTTTGTTGAAATTATCTCGTATAATATTATCAAATATACCGACAGTTCATAATAAATTCGTTATTTTATATATCACTCAAGTTAGGTATCTACATGTACCATTGATTATAAAACAGTATAACTTTAAACGAATCGGATATTTATGAAAGCGGTTGAGCAAAAAAATAAAACTTTCAGAAGTTTAGCGGGCCGGCCGCTATTTAACACTTTTCATGAATAAACTAGAGAGTTTGGTCTTTGAATTGTCAATTACAGAAACTAACATAACGAACGTACTAGGCACTTTTCAAAAATAAATGATTTGTTTCTAAGTATCGAATATAAATTTATCAAACCTATTTTTCAAAAAAGCGACTTAGCACTTTTCATAAATAACTGATTCAAACTATGAAACATACTACCAGATTATAGCCTATTGGATTGATAAATTCTATGCATGTATAGGTACCATTACTTGTCTCCACTGAGCTTGTTTTGTGATTTTTTTTTTTTAATTGTTTTTCCCGTCTGACATCACGATTTCAACCTTTTTCTAATCGTTACAACCAGTAATAGTAAATTCCATCATAGTTGGTGTATTAATTTTGATGGTACTTGTACTTTTTTTTTATAATTGGGGTGGTTGGTTCGGTGGCCGTAGTAAATCAGATGGCTTTTTGAATTGGAGATCGAATGTACAATGGTTGTTAAAATAAAAACTATATGAATAATACCTGTTTACCTACTTAATCTAACCACGAATATCAGCCAAATCACTATAAAAAAAAACTCTACTCAGAATTGTAAGACAGGTATTAGAATTTGTTAGAAAAATGTCGAAAGTTATTAGATTTAAAAAAAATTGTAGTGGTGAGAACATGTTCAGTGCCATTACATATTATGAGACGAACGTAAAAAATAAAACATTTAACAGTAGCTATACTCGATATTGACAATTGTTAGCATAGGCGCAACTAGACCATCAACTTTGGGGTGCTAGATAATTATGGCCAAATTAAAAACCCACGTGGGCTTTGCTCCCAAAATCCTCTTTATACGACTCTTGCGACTAGTAACTTATACAAATTTAATTTCTAATTTTGCACATACAAATTTATCGTAAGTATTTTCACGTTATTTTTTCATACAGCCATGCATTGTTATTGTGGGTAATATGTATTTTATTTTGCTTATTCATCATTCATTACGTGCCAATATTGGCGTAATTTTTTTACGATTTCCAATGAGGGTGGGATGAGGGTTAACCGAACGTACGAAGTTTTTTCTTCGTATTTTATAATCTACAGCAAATACAAGTTAGGCAATCTTTATAAACAAAATACATAAACACAGCAATACAAAGTAATAAAAACCTGTACGGATTATATATTTATCTAAATAAATTATGTCAGTAATTTATTCGCTGCATGAGCGCCTGGAGGGGGGGGGGTAAGACGGCGCGTCTATACGCCCTCTGGACTTCGACATTTCAAATGTAATTGCAATAATTTTATTTTCATTACTTTTTGGCGTTTGATTTTATTTTTTCCCTTCTTGATAAATTTCTTGCGAGCGCCCATGATTCGCCGTCATTCATCGTATGTGTACAGTGGAAAAATTAATTAATTAATTTTACTGTTCTAACTTAAGTAGCTAATTATTTTGGTCGTTTCTCAACTTAACTAACTTAATTGTACTGTTTAACTTTTAAAGAATACATGCTATTTTACCAGATGAATTAAGTTCAAATATATTTCGTACATCGACTATCGACCAAACGAGTTAAATTCAATTTTTAGAACTATTAACCGAATGGTTTTTTTGATTTTTTACTATATACTAAAACTCTAGTTAACTATTTTTGTTTATTTGCCCGCCTTTAGTGAAGCATAACTAAAAAAACTTAGAAGAACCGGGAAGTCGACACGAATATATATATATTGGCAGTACTGTTTCAGAGGTCTGTAATACAGATGAAAGGAAAAAAAAAAAACAACCTACAAAGTGAGTTTTGAATGTGGGAGCCCCTGTAATTTCGAGTATTATTGATCTTGCTGCAGAGTTCATAGTCGTGTGGAAAACGCCCCGACGACGATTGCGCCGGCCTACGATATATTTTTTTACGAAAAACATCGTAAAACGGCGAAATACACGCCTTCTCATTAATATATTTAACGGTTTCGGTCACTAACCAGTCGTATAATATTGAGAACCTACTTACTATTTGCACACTGTATTTGTAATTTATGCATATTCGGACAATAGTGATGGTACTCGTACACTTTTTTATGGTGTTTAAACTTTTAAACACTTCGCTATTTACGTTTCTAGACATTTTTTTTTTTTTAACGTTATGGACGAAGCGAGGAATGTGTTGGTTTTACTATGACGTGATAATAATATCATTATTTTCTTATGTCTGTAAACCGTTTCGCCACCAACAATATAAGTCCGATCGAAAACTTTATAGAAACTTTCGTGTAATATTTTCCATTTAGTATTGGGAGATCGGTTTTTTTTTTTTAATTTTTCCTAATCAATAGAGGAAAAAATGGCAATTTGATGTATAACTGTTTTTCTATTTCCCGGTTATTTTCGTTGCAAGGGAAAGAATACGATTAATAACACACCGCTCGGAATAGTTTTTCGTTTATAATATGGTTTATCGTTACGTACAGATAAAAATTAAATAATATTACTGTTTATATCATCCTCCCTACCGACTTCCTTCGTAAAACAGTGGTAGACCCATCAGCAGTATCAGTATATTTGTGTACCTATTGCATTTAGTAAGTAAATACAAATTCTTACGAATGTAATTCGACTCGACTCGGCCGGTTTATGTGAAAAACGACCAAGTCTGTAAACGCGGTTTTTACTTTTTCTTATACGCCCGTTACACAAAACATTATAATAATAATAACAATTTCTCATCTAATTTTCGGATCGTATTTTTTTCAACGGAACACTCGTCTATACACATATATTACATTAGTTTTATAGTAAATCAATTTGCAATATTGTATTCAATACTTAGGTACATAAAAATAGTCGCAGTATTTTAAAGATGTGTTTCGCTATGCGTGTAACGTATACTATAGCGATTGCGGTCGGGTTAATCCGGCGTTTCTGGAACTTTTTTACACGCTTTCCGTGCGAGTAAATTATTTGTCTTTTTTTTTTTTTTTTAATTTTAATATCAGAAGTAACGATAATAATAGAAAATGTTGTTGCACGCGTATTTTTTATATTTATTCTGTACGAACGAACGAAATCGAAATCAGATACAAGTGTACACTATTCGAGTCGAATACCTTTACGTACACAATCTGTGACCGTCTCGTACATTATATATCATATAGGTAAGTATGTATTGTAAATTGAGTTTCAGACGTATTATAAGTACACAATGTAAGTTGGGTTCTTAGACACATTTTATTATTATTATATACAGACGAAACCGATTAATCTTAAACGAAATCTATTATTTCACCGGACGGCGGGCAGTGGCGGGCCGAAGAAAGTTAATTAACTTTTTCCTTCTCGCGATACTCGCATGTGCATATAATAAATAACATTGTGCAACGCGGTATTACAAATAATAACATAATACGCAGTTAATATACACTACTTACACCGGAATACCGCTAATGGTTGCTTACAAGCAAGTACATACAATATATCGATAGATAGATAAATAAATTATTACCGTAGAAATATTGTTGGTTTTTTTTTTTATTTTTTTTAAATTACGAGATATACCTAATATTATAGGAGGAGATTGCTGACTTTCGACATTATTTATAGTCACTTCCCACTGATCCGGAATGCATAATTATATATTTTATCACGCACTTTTGACTTTACGGGTGAATTTAACTATGCACGCGTGTTTGTCAAATTTCTCCCGAAAACATAGACTATTACGCTGTACTTTGCATGCTATTTAATGCAACGTAACTTATATTATATAGTTGCGTGTATTTTCCCAGTTACTTTGGGACATTTTCGGCGGCTCCCTATGGACCGAATTAGCTAAATCTAAACAAATAAGTTATTTTATAGACGAATTGAAGTGATCAAATTTCGGTCGAATTTTGCGCCATGTTGTTATAAGACAAGAGTGTTTTTTTTTTTTTTTTTTTTTTAGTTTTACGCGCCTCAACAGCCCCCCGAAATAAAGCTAGTCGGAAGTAATTTTGTACGTGCATGACTGAAGTACCAGGGATGTGCTTTTAGGAGGTTCAAACCTTTAAACCTCTCCCCAATAAATTTCGCGTTTATCGTGCGCAATTTATCGTTACATATAAAATATTATAAATGCTATACGATCCCAAATATTTACCAGCAACTGTGTAGGACCACACGTGGTGCGTGAAGTATATCCGGCTTTTATAAAATATTTTTTCTATCAATATCTAAAAATTTTCTAAATATTTAAATTTTTAAGTTATTAAGAAGAAGCCACATTCACACATACTGTTTCCGTCTTACGCACGCACTCTAAGTTTTTATATGAGAGAGAATTGGACTATTTTCAAACTTAAAAAATAAACAGTTGCGTCGGATTATTTTTCTATATTTTAATTTTTAAACGAAAAATCACAATTCCAAAATGCTAAAATCTTGCTCAAAAATTTAAATATCAAGAAACTTGGCGTAATTGCTTAGATAACATTCTTGTATTAGAGATTCACAACAGATCGATAAATTGTAATAAGCATTAAAATTATAAACATTGTACAAAATCCCTGACAAACGGACGAAGCAGCACGCGCAGGTGTGGCATTTTAAGTAATCAACATCATATATCTTTATCAAAGACGTAAACAGGGATAGGAGCTCATGATGGCCTAGCCTTTTATCTCAAGCCCTGCCTATAATATTTGATGAAATTTAATCATAAATATTAGGTATAAAACGTATTTGGCTCGAGCCTTTTGTACTTTCAGTCTGTATTTTTGCCTACGAATTCTCCATATATACCCGTCATCGTGTACTATAACTCTGCTATACACAATGCGATTCCCTAAATGTGCTCAACTCATTTTCTCGGTTAAATTTTGCATTTATTCAAATACTGATTTTCGGAATTTTTAAGTGTAGTTAAAATCGATACTTTCGAATATTAAGATTTTTTACAACATTCAAGGAGTATCCTGTAGTGATACCAACTTTGGTTTTTCAAATGAGAACCTATATTAAGAATTCCATAATTATCATTTGTGTGGCGGGACGGCGCGCGGCATTTTATTAGTACTCCACTAATCTTCCCTTACTTAAACTTTAAAGTGAATTATATGGCCAATGGGTTGACGGAAATCAAAAATGTTTGCACCAAAATGTATTAAAAGTAATACTTCATCTGTTTACGGAATTTTTAATATAAGTTCTCATTTTCAAAGTTAGTATCGCCAAAGAATACTCAATTAAATAATAAATTAACAACAAAATTATTAAAATGGTTAATACTCGTAAATATATAAAGTAAATAAACGGATCAATGCGTCGCCTGGAGTATTATACGACTGGTTTCGAATTACAAATTCATCATCGGGTATTTTGACTGTGATATTACAGTCAAAATGTCAAAACGCGACGGAATATAACTAATTAAATGAAGAAATGGATAGTGTAAACAAAAAAATTATACAAATTGGTCGTTTTACATAGAATATTTTTTTATTATTTTTTTTTTTTATTTTAATTATAACACATAAAATCTGTAAATACACTTTTTACAATAAGCATGTTTGAGGAATTATATAATAAAAAAAAAATAAAAAAAAAATAAAAAGACATAGAATATAGAAATAATTTATTTTAATAGGAGAGATTACTTAAAATTAGTTATTATTTAACATAGATAAGTTAAGAAATATAAATTATTTGGTTATTATTTATTATCTAAAATGTATTAATATAAGATCAAATAATTTATATTTCTTAACTTATCTATGTTAAATAATAACTAATTTTAAATAATCTCTCCTATTAAAATAAATTATTTCTATATTCTATGTAAAACGACCAATTAGTATAATTTTTTTGTTTTCTCTATCCGTTCCTTCATTTAATTAGTTATATTCAGTCGCGTTTTGCATTTTTAACTGTGATATACCCGATGATGCATTTTCAATCCGAACCCGGTCGTACAATACACTTATCCTAATACTCCGCGCGACGCATTGATTGTTGTTTATTTATCTTATTTTTAAATATAAATTTGTTATTCATATCTTCATTCACTTTACAGAATACTCATTGAACGTGGTGAAAAATCTGAGCATTCGAAAATATCGGCATTAACTGCACTGGACAATTTCGAAATTCCGAATTTAAATACATGCGAAATTTGGCCAAAAAAAAAAAAAAAACGGGGTCAGCGCGCTTAGTAAATATCGTCATGTATACAATGCGCGGACTCGTGGATCGTAACGAGACCGTGTCGCGTTACGATCTTCGGATTATATTATACGGCAAGAATACCTGTGTATTATAACCTGTACAGCGATATCGAACGGTATCCGCAGGTCGCCCGTCACGGCTACCGCGGTCGTGATCTTCCGGGCGAGTTTCGCGGGACGTGTCGCGACCGAACCGCGTAATGCGTTCCGTAACGTCTCGTCGCCGTCGCGAGCGCCCTGCGCAACGCTCGGGCCCGTTACCGCGGCCTGCGGCGCCTTTGCGCATAAATTGAACGTACATTTTAATCCGCTCGGGCGGAATATTAACAATGATACGCCTACACGCGCGCGCGCGCAAAGTTGCGGATACGTCGAGCGTGCGAAAGAACAACGCGGACAAAAAGAAAACAACGCGCGAACACGACAAGCGCATTATTATGATATTTACGTACGCCAGACGACAGGCGTGTCGTCGTTTGTTACAATAATCTCTTCTCGGGTAATAATCACCGCGACATTTTCCCGTCGACGTCACAAAATAATAATAACAACAACAATAACAATAATACGGGTACGTGTATTTTATTATTGCGTTGCGTAACATACGAGTCATATGGTCGTAGGGAAAATCTCGAAATCTGCACAACAGATAATCCTATTATGTACAAACATTAGTTACCATTACGGTTCATTTCGTTTTTCTCGAGTTCGTGACGGATAAAAGTGCGAATTTCTTATTCTCACGCAATCCCCGTCGCGTTCGTTTTTTCTCGGCGCGCTCATACCGCGTGTCTAGTCGTGCGCCGAGCGCTTAGTTCGGTTCAATAATTAAAATCAGTACGATGACCGATCCGGATTACCAGATCAATCTGAACTACATTGAACAGCATTAGGAATAGCTGCGAGTGAAATAAAGTGTTCAGAAAATCGTCAGTTCAACCAACGGCAACAATAGATTACGAACACTTGGGTCCGCGGATAATGTGGAAATAATCAGTTCATTAGTGGGCTTAGTCAATGCTTCAAGCTTTAAGGACATTGGGAAGGGCTGCCAGTAAAGTCGATTTCAAAATAAAAACGCAAATCGAGATAAAAGGATAATAGGGTATAATAGGGGACTGCAGGAATTGATGGACCTAGCAACTAGTTTCTTAAAGGTCATAGAATCCAGTGAATAGGTCATATTCTAAGAAAAGCAACTTTTATTTAAAAATTTCATGGCAAACGACCGCGTGGCTGACCTAGAAAAATATGGATTGTTGGAGTGACAGAGGATCTATAAGTAATATGGACATTGCACATTGGAATCAAATTAAACAAGACACAGTTACAAGTGGCGTGGTATTTTAACGACAGCAAAACTTTCGAAAGAGTGAAATGGTCAAGAGAAGAAGAAGGATCCGAATTTTCGATTGTTAATTATTGCAGACAAAATATTTAAAACTGCTGTCAACATTGAATTCGTTAGTTTAACGATAACGAATTGATCGCAAATTAATCATAAAAGTTTGTAGTTTGGTTTTTTTGCATGACTGTACAACATTGTAGTTGACATTAGCTAGAGAGCGTAATATTTATTACTTTGTTCCATTACTGTGTACTTTTCTTTACATCATGTCTAAAATTTGGGAGTGTTTTATTAAACATGTTGACACGCGAGGTGTGTCTAGTTAGTTATATTTCGTGTGTATATTTTTGTTGTTTTATTCATATTACCTCAGCTGATTCAAACAGAATTTTCATCCCTTTAATTGTTAACCAGATAGTAACCGAGTTTAACTAAATACTGCAGAATACTGCAGATGTAACATACGTTATATTTTGGATAACCTGATCAATAATAATACAACGATGTTGTTGTATAATTATTGTTTTCTTATTGTTGTAATGTTAAAAAATTATCGTCACGTTGGCCGAGTTTTCGCGTCCTCTTATCGCGCGTCGGTCACCCTGTATAACGCGACAATAAGAGGTCAGCGTTTATGGTACGCGTTGCCCAATTTCACATTATTGTCGTTACCGTTTTAGTTTGTATTCCAAACAGGTCAGCGGTTTACATTATAATAATTATTGTATTCGATGTAGTGCTCGAATTTGAAAAAAAAAAAAAAATTACAGGAGACCGCGGCACAGTCGAATTGTATTTTTTTTAAGGTTCACAACTATCGCTCGTGGGTAGGCCATTGCTGTCGTGGGACGGAAGTTAAAAAGGTAGGATTACATGATGCAATTATCTGGTTTAGTAGTTTATATTTTTGTGTACAACGATCAATCGTTGTCAACGAAAAACGATTCTGAGTGTGATGTTTGATAAAATATGTTTCGCAGAATTGAAAATTATATATTGTATTAATATGTAAAAAAATGCGCGCAATCACAAAATAAGCTATACGATTTGATCGTGTTTCTAACGAATCTTAATTTTTAACTTAACATGCGTGTAAACATAAATCACGACATTACGCTCGACTTTTTTTTTTCGCGTAACTTGTGACGAGTTTCTTAATATTTGTATAATGCCAAAAATGCGTGTCATCCACACGACAAATCGTTAGTATTGAAGTGTAGTAAAATATAAAATGTCGATGGTGTTTACGATCTTTTCTAATTCTGATGTATACAAAACACATTTGGGCAATCGTGCGTGTTGTTAAAAAATAATACTACCATATCGACTCGGCGATGACAAATTATCGACACTGTCGCGGAGTTTTACTGTATAGATCACAAACACATTATAGGTTGTATTGAACCGTGGGTGGGACGAGAACACAATACGAAATACGATGGGAACTATAGTGTCGTCGCCGCAGCGTTCCGGTTAAACGAATCAATGTTATTATGAATCGGGAAACGCTTAAAAAAAAAAAAAAAAGAAAACAATAAACAGTACAGGAGATCTTTGACTTTCCGCTAAATTCGCCGTTTCCGGATATTTGAAACGGGGATTTCGTTGTATAGAACGCGACACGGGTTTGTTGTTCGTAAATCGAAGATTCCGCAAAGACGTGCGCGCACAATACTTCAAAAATGTTCGTAGCAAATAGGTATTGATAGAGTGTACGATTTTTCACGAGTATTTTTTTCGACACCTAAACGAGACGGCGGCGGCGCATCGATCTAATGTGTTTACAATATCTCGATATGTGATTATCAGTAATTATATCGGGGTCGGGCGATGTCGGTCGAAACGCCGCGGCAATGTCGTAATATTCGTCCGATTGTACACTATCGCGCCCGTAAAACTTTGACCCGGTAAAAAGCATCTGTACCGTATTTACAGCGCAGGCGATAATAACGTTACGACAAAAAAGCGGCGACCCGCAGATATACGCATTATAAAAACTGTAACTATTTGTGCTGTTGATAACAACGCATTTATCATGCGACAACGAACACTATATTTTTTAACAGTGACCACTGTAGCCAGCGTACACGAGCACCCACACTTTTCGCATTACCTGCCGGAATATTACGTTTTACATTTTGAGCGCGGCGAAATATTTGTTTCACCGTAATATTACGATATGGTTTTCTTTTCAGATTCGCAGCGTAGCGATGAGGGTCCTATCGGTTTTACTACTATGTTTTTGGATTTAAACACTTTTTTACCACAAATTTTGCTCAGATTTTTAAAGTACAATACCTTTTCTGAGAGGTCATTTTGTCTAACTGTTGCGATTAATAGGTCATTTTTTAAGGTTTTAAAAGGGGTTTTCAAAATAATTGAGAAAAACCAAAAAATACTTAGGAAGAACCGGAAAAAATTTATGAAAATTATTATTTTTAATTTTATTTTAGATTCTTAGTGTAGCGATAAATATATTTTACATAGATGTTTTTTTTATTATTTTTTTTTTTTTGAAGGGAACACTTTTTCTACCAGAAAGCCTACTCCGATTGTATCTGTGGATAAAATAGTTAGATTAAACAGAAATGCTGGACAATTTTACAGGAAGTTCATTATAAGTCGTACTTAGTTTTCATAGAAAAAAAAATTGAGTGTAATATAGTATTTTTTATTTTATAAGTTTTAAAATCAAATTTTGACGAAAATCTAGCCTCATAAATTTAATACAAGGTCAATTTATAATAAGTCGTAACTACTAAGTTGTAGAATTTTTTCTTAGGATTCATCTTCTGGGATTTTTTAAAAACATTAGAGTTCAAAAATCGTAAACATTTATGGTGTTTCTGGCATGTATTCGCTCAGAATTGTTTTTCGTTAACAATGGTTTATTGTTGCGTATAGATATAAATCAAATAACTGAGTGTATGCATGATTCTTCTTTTCTTTTAATTATGGTCACAACTATCAGGTAAGGATACAATTTAAGTGAGATATTATTTCGAAAAAGCGTACAACGCATGCGTGGAAAAACATAAAACATAATAATCTTCAGTGATTACGGGGTTCTGGGTGCAAAAATGCAACTAGTTCAAGAAAATTGTTACATAACACATAGTATAGTTTATATTTATTTTTATTATATATTATGCAAATGAATATATGATATGTTTTGGAACGGTTATTATAATATAACAGTTAAATTACACCGGGGCAGTTCATTTAAATACCAATACATAATAATACAATTATTTAAAATGTTGTCAACAACTTTGGTTACAGGTAAAAATAAAAATATCCTGCGACAAAACACATGCACTCATTTCTAGGTGTTAACAATAACAATACGTTTTACGCAATACAAGCGATTCCAATTATTACACTTATAATATAATTATGTACGCATTTGCGCCTATGAATTCTCCATAGATACCTGTATTCGTGTGCTGTAGCTGTATACGGTATGATTCACATAGCGTGCTCGCCCCATTATTTCGGTTATATTTCCCATATATTCAAATTCTGATTTTTGTAATTTTTAAATGTAGTTAAAGCCTATATTTTCGAATACTTAGATTTTTTACAACATTATTATAATATATTACAATATTGTTTTACAACATCATGTGGTGACACGAACTTTGGTTTTTCAAATGAAAATCTATATTGAAAATTCCATAAATAGATGGAGTATTATTTTAAATACATTTAGATAATAACATTTTCGATTTCTGTCAACCTTTTGACGAGACATTCCACTTTTAAGTTTAAACAGAGTAGAGTAGTGGAGCACTAATAAAAAGCCATATGCCGGGCTACCACATAAATGATAGTCAAGAAACTTAAATTCCAAAAAATCAAAATTTTAATATGTGGACAATTTAGCCAAAAATATGGGGTGATCACGCTTAATGAATCATTCTGTGTATTGATATATTACTATCGAAATATCATTACGTTTAACTTAAAATAAACTGTTATGTTTCAACATATAGTTTAAAAAATAACATAATATTTAACATTCACCTCCATCTCGACTGTTTGAAGTCAATCACCCTTGTCCTAAACTTCCACTTGACTCGTTCTCCCACATCACCGTCGCATACACCCGCCATCATCATATAATTCTCAACCATATCCAACCATCTAGTTGTTGGTCTTCCTTTCATCTTCTGTCCTTTCACGTCTATTTTCGTTACAATTCTTATTGCTTCTGATTCGTCTTTCCTCATAACACGACCAAACCATCTCAGGCTATTTCGTCTTATTTTGTCCAGGTTAGGAATTTACAATTCATTATGAAAAACTCACAAATGTAAATTCGAAAAATCCGGTCAACTATTCAACACAAAGTGCCATAATAGTGGTTCGTGCAAAAATAAAAATATAATATTAAATTTTGTTGATAATTAATTAAAACTATTATAAATTAATAATAGATAACTGTGATAATGTTCATTTTAATATTTGTGTCGAACCGCTATTAGAAAGTAAATTTCGAAATTGAATTTTTTTTTTGTTTTTTGTAAGTTTATTCAAGTAGGATGTTTTGTTTAAATTACGATATTTTCAATGTATAATCTACTTTACCCATAACATATATATATATATAGATATAGATAATACAGTCCATAATATTATGTATTATATTTTGGTATATTTTACCGATCCGTTCTATTTAATTAACTATTATCATTTACAAAGTAGATTAATTTACGGATATTAAGTATAGGATTGTGTAGGTAGACATTTTTTAATTTTTGAAGGTTAGCAGTTACAGCTGCGATCGGTTCCTGTATTTCGTTTATCTCACTGGTAATAGACTTGCAGTAATTTTTCGTTATTTCGTCGATACCGGATTGAACGTCCGAACAGTCCATGCACTGCGATATATTCGTTAATAATCTTACGAACCTGATCACTATTAATGTTTTGAAAGAGATACGTCTCTTTTGCAACATCGCATTGGTAAAACGGTTAAAGTAGTATTTGAATAACAATACCGATGCCTTGGCGTTTTCTATTTCGAATATAGAATCACCATTCTCAAAACCGTTCACGCACCCTTTATTGATCAAGTATTTTACGCCTTTCAATAGTTTATACCCTTCTTTCATGGCAACGTACAACATCACATCGGCAGCGATATTGTCGTATTTCATGATGTTGAGGAAATAACTGTCCTTTTTCGATAAGCTCTGTAATTCGGCTAAACTATACATCATTTTGTTCCGTCTGTTATCCACGTCGGGCCTAATGACTTTTGCCTCACGGTTCTCCGGTGTTTTCGCGACATTCTCGAGCTGAAATTTGTTTATGTTATTATCGATACAAAATACGCATAGTGCATATACCTACTCACTTAAAACAATTTAATACGTTAATGTGTATAGCATACAAACATGAATACATTGTATACGTGTTGTATAATGCATGAGATAATATTCGTGCATAATGTATGCCACATGAAAAATAATATTATAAAATACCTAATGATTTTTTTTAAATTTTAATTATAAATAATGCACATTTCATCCACCCAACGATTTTTATCCCAATATTCAGCTTGTAATTGCATGCTTATTAGTAGAGCCAACGTAATTTGTATACAACATATTTATACTGATCGGTCTAAAATATATCTAGTTAATAGCATACAGTAAACAACATTTTTAGAGCCCATTATAGGATTTGTGCGATTTCAGAGCATATTTCAATGATATCGTAAACTTTTAAGACGTTTTTAACTCAATGAATCGAGAAACACAAAATAATTGTTCGAAAAATGTACACAATATTTGAAGTATTATTATTATTTTTTTTTTTAGAGCATATTCAGAGCATATAAACTATTAAAATATTTTCCCTNTTTTTTAAATTTTAATTATAAATAATGCACATTTCATCCACCCAACGATTTTTATCCCAATATTCATTTTAACTGAAATCCATGAAAAATGCATTGATTGACATACAAATGCGTGTTTATCACACCCTAAATATTGGAGTAAAAAAAAAATATTTAAATTTTTGAATAAGGGTAAGGCTGATGAAATGTACGTTTATATATACACGCTGTTATATTACCGACAATAATACTCGTGATAAATCTCCATTCGGTCCCTTTTAAAAACGAACAAACAATATTATTACAAATTATTATATATATATATTTTTTTTTTTTGTAAATAAACTTAAAGGTGTCTCATACTGCCTTGTATAAATAATAAAATTAATTCACAAAAACGCTTCGTTCTATAATTTATAGCAATGTGAATACTAATTAGGTATTTATTCTTTTTAAATAATGTAATTAAATTCGTCGAACACAAAATTGAATTACAATAAATCAGGAGATATAATATTGTTTTTGTATACAAATTTTTATTGAATTTTTCAATGAACTATTTTTACGATATGGATATCGAAAAAATAAACCATGTTCACATACTTGTATTTAACATTAGTAGGAACAATATACTCATATTAGATAGCTAAATACTTTTTTTTATCGAATTTCCTCCGAAAATTGAGACTATTATATAGCGTGGCCTTTAGTTGCTTCCTCTAGACCAAAAGAGTTTTTAAATAGACTGATTGAAGCGATTTAGCATTGTTCGTACCGAAAGAATCCTCCAAATAAAGTGAGGAGAGATTTATTATATATTATACGATATAAGTATCGAGAACGTGCCTTTTGGTGGTTTCAACTTTTAACTCCCCTTGAAACTAGTTTTTATGCTTATATTTTATGTTTTCGGAAGAAATAACGGGTATAAACATTTTATATACCCGTACAGTAAATTGGTTAAAATGTATTTGTATAAATGGAATTTTTGTTGAGAATGTGCTTTAAAACTGTTGGAACATTCAACCCCTGACATAATTGTAGATTTTATGATCAATTTTCGGTCAATTAGGGAAAAGTTTTCGGTAAATGTAAGTTTTTGATAAACATTTAGCTAGTTTTCAATCAACTTTCGTTAAATTATCGGTCGTTTTTAAATTATTCGGTAATTTTTGTAAATATTTGGTAAATTTTCGGACATTTTACGGTTAATATTAAACATACAAATGTAGGGATTAAATACATATATAAAACAAAAATAATATAACTATTAAGACAGTAATAAAGTTTAGGTATATGGTAAAACAGATGTTAAAAATTACTTCATTTTCGTAGCTCTCATATCTGTATTCTTTGGCTTTCTATAACACGAAAAACAACACAATATAGATGAGAATAAACACCTTTTATTATTATTCGTTTTTAAAAATAATATTTAAGAATAAAATAATAGAATGATCATTATAAATCAATATATAATAAAACTATCTTTTTTCTCGGTAAATAGTTTTTTAAATTTTGAAACTTTGTATTCTTATTATTCAAATTAATCTAGAGAAATATGTGCAGTTTTGATAAAAATCCAATTGATTCAGAATAGTTATTTAACACGATCGATTTCATCTGGGTAAAATAAAGCAAATCATTTATCGACAGATTATTTATTTAAATACAACTGATTAGTAATACACCGTATTATAAAACGATATTATTACATAATATATAGGGTTTTTTTTTTTATCGTTTATTATATTTTTTGGTTATATGTTTAACCTAAATAATTGTTTTATACTTACAAAAAGGCGTGTACAAACAATTTTTCGCTAAAGCAAACTATTAGTTTATGATATTTAAAATCGAAATACACTCAGGTACAGTAACCTAAAAATAATTGAATCGTCAAATGCAGAATGTTAAAATTGAAGACAATTTCGTGTAAAATGAAAATATTTCATATCTTTGAAAAATCAATTCTATTATTAATACTAGTGGTATAGGTTAGATATCATCTAAAAATGTCTACAATCATGAATAATGAAGAATGACGATAAAACCCCAGATACTAGAAACTGTCGGAACGACGGAACCGTAATATATTGTAGAAAAAACCATTGCGCTCCGTAGAATGGTTAGATTTTAGTGATTTTATTTTTAAATTTAAAAAAAAAGGAAAATTTATATGAGTCACGTTGAACTTAAAATGATCAAAATCTAAATCATTAGGAAATGTTTTAAGCGTCTTTTTCTTAGTCTTTCTATTCTAAAATAACATACGGTTCAGTCAAAAATCGGAATTCAATGCTAAATATAAAAATGTTTACAAATAAACTCTTTAATAAGATCTTTCAAATAAATGCAATATTAATAACAAATACTATTGAAATTCTAAATTAATAATAAATTTGTAGTATTATGTGTTTACCAAAATATCGATACATTCCCACGTATCAATAACGAGAATATCCGCAGGAATAGAGAATCGAGTGTTGTTAAAATCCTCACTATGGTGTTGATCGAACTAAACATGTCAATAATTTTAAAGTGAATTAATTAAAACTTTCTTTATTAATGCGAACAGTAATTGTATTTTCAATTAATATAAATATTAATGTGAATGATAATAAGTCGAAGACGAATGGATATAACAACGAAAATACTCACGGTCACCTCACATTTCTCCATTACAAATACATATTGCATAAATAGATCGGATTTGGCCTCAGCCATGCTGAGCAGATCTTCACCGATCAAAGGTGGACTGGGCACACTACAAAACGTTTCTGAGCCGTAATAAACGTTGTCTTTGATAATGTCCCATTGATCTTTATGATGGTCTATATATGGTGATTTTAACGAGATGTTACTCTCGTTGGAAATGTGCCCGAGGCTTTCGTTCATATTAATTACAATGTTGTCGATTAAACGCGTCAACCGTTTCTGTATCGGAAGGAGCTCGGTTTCAGTAAATGATTTCAAATAAACCATAACTTCTAGCGCCAAGTCGATATTGTGACCGTAATCGTAGAGATGCGCGAAAATACAGTATTTTTGATCTTGTCGAAGTTTGAGAAGTTTAAGATCAGTAACACTCTTGGTTCCTTTAGCTATCATATCATTTATTTCCGCCAATGCCAATTTACAATGAATATACATATTCTTTAGTATATAAGCAAAGCTTCTATCCATAACAATTTTACTCAAATCGATTAGATTATACTGGACATCGTTAAGTTTTTCTATTAACGTTAGGTCAGGACTTATATTGAATGCGGATGTTCGTTTCAGTTTTCGTACGAAGCCATTATTGATTTCGTCAAGTAGCTTCACATTTTTAGACATTGTTATAATGTCACAGATTTTAACAAACGTTAATACTTTATGGGTTCTTAACGACGTAATATTTTCGTAACGTACATACCCACATTCTGCCATCAAAATCAGTGTACTGAGGATGATTGAAATCTTCATAGTTATCGCGGTAAGCATAAACGTTAATATTCTTTCGAAATGTTTTCGGATACTATGAATACATCTCCAAAGTTGTACGCTTGCATTATATGTTGAGTACAATACTATGCAAATATCATGCGTAAACGTGTATACTTAATATGTTTTAAGACAATTATTTGCTTACAGGGTAGCCCTCGAACATATATCCATTGTAATATCTCCAGAGACAATGAAGATAATCAAATCCTGTTTTTTTTTTTTTTTATATATAACTCACAGGGATAAGGACAACAGATTATATTTTGATAATTTATTTTAATTAGGAGAAAAAAAAATGTACAGTCAATATAAGCCATAATAATACTATGTTTTATTATTGTTATTTTGATTACCAAAAATATACAGTAGGCTGTGATCAAAGTATTCGAACTATTAGGTGTTATTATTATTATTAAGGGAAATTAACTGTACACACTTTTTTTCTCTGGGCTTCAAAAATTATAAAAATTATGGGTTCAATGAAAATAAAATGTTGAAACGTTAAAATGCCCAGAAGAATAAACTCTATAAAATTATTTCATTCAAATTTTCAAAAAATATATAAAATACAATTTTTTTACAAAACATAAAAATTTAATTCAATATACAAATATAAATATTTGCAACCCTTAACCCTGTGAGCAATACAAAAAAACAAAATTTGATTATATTTATTATCTAAAGAGAGTTATTGCAATAGTTATATCTTGTGGGACACCCTCTATAGGTTTTGATATTTCTTTTATTTAAGAAATAAAAAATATTTTAATATATAATTTCCTTATATATCTACCAATTTATCAATTTTAATTTATACTACATTATGTATAGATCGATAATTATTAAAAAATAATATTTATATTTTATAGCGAATTATAAAGATGAGAAATTGTATTATTTCGAAAGAATTTATAATTACAATTACATATATAATTGAAAAAAAACCATTTTCATATAATGTATTATTTAAAAAGTTAATAATGTAGAATGTAGTGGAGCGTAATTTTTTTTGATCCACGGCAACTCTCCTTCCCTTCCTACTAACATTACAGCAAAATACGTATAGATTTACTTGATGCGTACAATAGTCATAGTCGTTTAAATTAAATCCTAAATTTTAATATTCGTTTAATTTATTCTTTCCATATTTTTGATTCCAAAATATAAAAAAAAGAATTAACAAAATTGTTATAAATATAATTAACATTTTAATAATTTAAAATTATAAAATTGCATGATTTAATGAGACCTTTGAGCTTGAATTGTAGACATGATTGAATTAAAATTGGGTTTGATATTTGAGACTGTCACTCTTAAATCTGCTTTGATATTTAATCTGGACTCTGGAGCGATATTCGTTATCCCTAGTGTTGAAAATGCTGTTTCGCAATAAGTTGAAGCAAAAGTAAGTAATAATTTCTGATTAAATTTAAAAAGGACCCATATACTGTGTGATTCAACAGGTTTGACACGGATTGACACGGCCATCGACGATACAAGAGATATTACGTTACATAAAATAATATGTAATATATAACCTTCATTTGGTGTAAAAATGTTGGCGACCCCCAGGTTGCGCACCACTATTCTAGAGTACAATAATACAGGCTGTCCTACGAAGATATACACCATGAATATCTCCGGAGATAATAAAAATAATCAAATTCTGTTTTTTTTTTTATATTACTCACAGGGAAGAGGACTACTAATATTTATATTTAAATTGATTTTTTTAATTTTTATTAAAATATTAAAAAAATAACTTTTTAATTAAATATTTTCGGACAATTTTATGATATCTATTTTGCAAAGATTATTTTTCTGAAAATTTGAATGTATCACACATTTATATCCGAAGAAAAGTTTCTAAGTAACAGCCATTTTAAATTCTACTAATTCTTGTGAAAACCGATGTTATCTAGAGAATAACCTAACCGTGATACGCAAAAAAAAAAAAAAATTATAATATAAATATTTGTAGTCCTCTTCCCTGTGAGTAATATAAAAAAAAAATTTGATTATATTTATTATGACTGGGGATAGTCAAGGGGTATATCTTCGAGGGACAGCCTGTATAGTCAATTGACTACCCTTGTGAACTTGGCAGCGCGGCATTAGCAGACATCGATCTATTCCATCCATTTGTTGGTAAATTGTTGGACAATTTTTGAAAATGTTTGGACTTTATTTTCGACAGGGGGCCAAGCTCCTTGTACTTCTGCGCTGCCAATTTCACACTCGCAGCTCAACTTTTTGTTTGGAACTTTATTTTTTAGACCAGAATGGTCCACTCGGTGTATAAGATAACGTTGGACACATTTTAAATGTTAATTTATTGGATGGATTAGATCGATGTCTTTTAATGGTGTGTTGCCAAATTCACATGGGTCAATTGATTATTTTACAATTTATTATGTATGTGGTAATGATTATGTTTACCCTTTTAAATCGCGAACAGTAATGGTCGTGGTACAATTACTACATGACGGGAACACCGTTCATTACATATTGTGTATTTGTGTGTATTATTATTATATTTTTAGTACTAATTGAGACTGGAATTATCACGGACGATTTGGAACATTCACTATTAAATACATCGAAATTTGCAATTATTTTAAGAAAGTAATTTCAGAATTGTTCAAGGACCCGAGGCCCCCGCTAAGTTCTGGGGCTTTATAATAGCTACGCCACTGCTTTTGTTGGCTAACGAATACACGCCTGTACTATGCAGGCATCGAAAGTTTAATAGGTTTAAATGCGTCCTCAATAACGCAAATGGGTTTCGAGTGGAACAACAATTTGATACCTTTTCGACAGCAGAACCCGCCGCCATTGGCCAACAAATTATAATAATAATTGGAATTGCGTTATCGAACCGTCGCTGCATTTCAACGGGCAACACTGTTTGTCGGCCAACAATATTGTTCATCTATAATAGGTGTACAAAAACTCAACCATGGTAACCGCGGTCGGGCGTTCGTGTCGCTGCGTTTGTTCACCGCGGCGACGGCGTGTCGTTTACCATCATGCAATTGCAACGGGTCAATAACTATAATTCATAATAATAAAAAAAAGTATACCTGTAAATAAATAAAAAAAAAAACTTATTTGCGGCCGTCTACGAAGTTATGTGCGTTTTTGTTCGGCCCGGTGGCGCCGTCTCCGTTGTAAGACTGTGTACCGCGCGAATGCGAGTAATGCGACGGTCGTATAATATTATAATATACGTTCGGTGGCGACACAGTCACATAATTCGTCCGATTTGTCCGGTACGGTACACGTTTGAAAAAAAAAAAAATAAAATAAAAACTCGTACGATTCCGACCGATTTCCATAATAGTATAATGATAATGCGTCTGCCTGGCTATAATATTAACGCGGTTACAGGGTAATAATAAAAGTCTACGAGTTTCGAGACTCGTAAAATATTACGCAAAACCGGACTGTTGAATTATAATTATTGTATTCGGCCGCGATGCTCTACGAATGCTATAAAGTCTAATACGAACACATAAACAAATTACGAGCGAATACAAATAAACAAGTTCGGATAGTGCATTCTGCAAACTTCCCGGTTGCTAAACACGTATTATGTATATTATAATTTTTAACGAGTATGATAGCCTATAGTGCAATTCAATGCCCTCCGAGTGTAAACCTAAAACTCGATGCAAAACCGCGACAGATTTAGAAGATACGCGAAAAAAGGTGAATACGATCGTCGGGTCCAAACGTAACAATTGTATTGATTATGATATGAACGTCTTTAATCCACTGAGACGTTATCAAATCAGATATTGAGTTAAACGATAAGATTATAGGTGTCTATTTAAAACCAATAACGTTGTATGCCAAGTGATTTGCAACTGTGGCTCATTTTGAGTAGGGAACGCGTGTAAATACGCGCCTAGGCATCGGCCATTTATTTCTCACAACGTTGGCACTAAGACTGACCATCATTATATTGTATCAATATATTTGCGTTTCAAACATTTTACGCACGAATCGATTTACGTTTTTTTAATTTAATGTACTTTTTTTTTTTTTTTTAGAATATATTTTTTCTAGAAGGACGATAACATATACGATTGCACGATTTATATATTTTAATAATTCATTTTTAATGTTTTCTATATCTATGCAAAAAAAAAAAGTAATAAACTTTATTTTCTTCTTTAAAAAAAAAAAAAAAAAAAATTGAATATTATATTCAAGAGAAATCGTCTTGTAGACGCGGAATTAATATCTGCAGTAGGTATTTTCTAAACCGAATCCGATAAATAACGAAACGCCGCGGCAATGTTGTAACAAACGATAATTTACTTGAAACCGTATGTAAAACAAAGTGAACGCGTTTCGTTCCCGCGCAGAAATAATCTTCTGCGGGGGCGGGGAGAATTACGATTATAATTTTTGTACAACACGGCGAAAACTAGTTTCGCCAAATCGCGAATTGTGATAAAAAAAAAAAAAAAAAAAAAAAATAACGTTGTTTCGGACGTCGTTATTTAAGATGACACCCGAAGAGCGGTCGTTGTTACCATTATTTTTCGAACACCTACCTACCTAAGACCTGTTCATAACCTATATACCGTAGCTAGGTTGCACGCGGTGCGAAATTTGTCCGCGTGACTTTCTTTTGGGTGTGTGTATTTTTTTTTTTTTTTTTTATTTTTTTATTGTTTGTTATTTTGGCCACCGATGTAAGCGCGCGTAACAATGCTCGCATGATTAATCGGTTCGACAGAATCAATATACGCACCGCTACTTACGATTTATTCAGTCCGGATTCCGTTCAGTCGCATCGGTTTGAAAACAATTTGGTCGAATAGGATTATGATTATTATTATTGTATCTAATAATCACACTAGTCATACTCAAATATATATATATGTGTGTGTGTATATTTTTCTATACATCATATGATACAGAGTGATGCAGACAAATACAAATTTTATCACTCACCGGCGATTGTGTATTAGATACATCGTTATGTACAGTGATCGACGGCGATTTGATTTCGGTTTTTTCAGACATTACCCGTAGAATCGCAATGACGACGGGCGTTATAAAGGCTTTTAACTGTTAAATAGTTAAACGTTTCGATTTGAATAATGCATCAATGAACCTTTGGATGCTTTGCACGATTCGCTTGTATTCACTTCAACGAGTCGCTTTTTGAACGTACCGGTTTATTTGAATTTTGTTCAATTTTAATTTTTAACAAAATCGTAAATTAAATATACAATGTATACGTAACGAGATCATATTTTTTTCCCCTTTAGAGCGAGACGCCCGTACATTTCGATAACGAAAGCACGGCGATTTTCATAATCGTTCGCATGGAAAAACAGTAAAAATATTGTAAAATACTGTGGAACGTAATAAAACAAATTATTCAAAAATAAATGAAATAATAGATTTAATAATACGCGTTCAATAAACACGGTACATATTTTATTATGTTTATTTATTGAACATTAGAAAATAAAATAGACCTAATTGTTTTTGTGTAATTTAACTGATGGGCAGCTGGTTTCCTGTATATCTCGGATGAGCAGACCCCCGGTGAGTAGGTATTGTATTTAGCAGTCGAATCATAGGACACAGTAACCAACATTTTTATAATTATTCATGTATTGATATTAATTTGCATTCAAATTGAATTAAACAGATATTACACACTTTTGGTCGAAATATTTGTATTGGCTTTGGAATTAATCTTTTAAATTACAATAACCTATAAGCGACCCGCATCAGACAAATCACTAAAACGGCTCAACTGTACAATTTGTAAAATGTTAGTTTCCGTGTTGTACGTATTGAAAACCGCAGGTTTTTGCACTGCAATCAATAAAATGCATACCCTTTTTCGATAAAATGCATTTTCACAGTGATCTTTCTTTTTCTCAAAGCGGACTATTTTTTATGTGTTTTGAAAACAGTCGGACTCATAGCTCAAAAGTGGTAATGTCCCGCCGAAAGCGGGACGTATGGTCACGACATGTACACGCCATTTGAACCGTACCGTCACGTATAAATTATATTTTCCCCTCACCTCAACGTAAAATAAATATAGGTAATTTGATATTCCTGGTATAAGCCCTATGCGTTTAATATTGACTATCGTACGCGTCAATTAATTTTCTTTCGATTGACTTATCTCAACTGAGTTTTATATTAACTTGTCCAACCTTGATTTTGTGGTGTAGGTGCGTACAAAGAGAAAATCGCGCGATTTAGACAATGATTATTATAATATTATACCGGGTAATTAAACGACTAGGAAAAAAACCGAAATCAAATGTACTCTGTGTTTTCTCATAGTGCCCGAATCGTTGTGCCGCGTGTGCGATCACACAATCACCCTGTATACACAATATAATATTGTATACATTGATATTTGTATGGGTGTTTGTCTATTAGGTATATTATGCTATTTAAATATTATAATATTATAGCTGGTGTAGAACACGATCCGATTAATGTGACTTTTATAGATGTTATCGCCGGTCGACTGCGAAATATATTTAACTAGTGCCGAATATCGCACGTATTAATAATAATAATAATATTATAATATTGTAATACCTACGCACGAAATTTTCAAAATCGAATAACAGTTATTTATGATATTGTAATATCTATAGTTCTATTCGACGGCGGACGTCCTCGAACTCGAATTGTATGTTAAAAAAAAAATCTACATAGAAAATTATTTCGTTTCGGGTGAGTCACCATATTGCCGTCGCCACCGCCGCAGACGTAAACTCGTCGACTTTTTAATAATAATAATAGTGTTATCCGATTAGAAGCGAAAGTGAACAAAAATAACACATTATTTGTCGAAGTTTTCCCCGAAAATTGATACTTTTCAACTGTATTATACAAAGTGATTAGTCTATCGTAAGACACTCATTATATAGGAAAGTATAAACGTTTTTGGTTTATGTTGGAAATGTAGAATATAGACGAGAATCTGTAATGTACGAATCTGTACGAAACGATTAAAATTGCTAACGAAAAAACGATTCTGAGCGGAGTTCGATTGAGAATGTTGCTTTGTGAACAATATAATATGTCATATTATGGTAAAATAATTACATACGCATTAAACATTTTCTTTAATAATATTTGTTTAATATTACACCAATTTTTCCGGTTTGCCTATGTTTTTTTTTTCCCGGGTTTCCGGTTATACATCATATAAATATACCTACTGATAGATTTTTATATTATTTACATTATAATTGCCATTTAAGCGTCATATCGTAGAAGTCGAATTATTACAATTCACAGCAAATATTTAATATAAATGCAATTATTGTCAAATTAATTTATCAGGTTAATGGTTGAATTAACTGTCGGTTGTCTTATGTCTAATTTATACTAGAAATGACTATTCGCGGCGAATACAGAAAGTTCGTATAATTGCACTGTATTCTATTTATATGAAAATACTTTCGACGCAATCGGAATACATATTTAATTTAAATAACACCGGAACACGGTATTTCCTATCTACTTTGCACGGGCCACAATCAGTGTAAGAAAAGGAAAAGAAGTCACTTTGGGCCGTAATCAGGCGACGCACAGTAGTGTGAGAATGAAATTTAGGTAGTAAAAATCGGCCGCTAAAAATGTTTAAAAATCTATTTTTTTTTTTTCTAGGATCTCATAAGTAGGTGATTACTTGTGTAAATACAAAATTTCAATCAAAATTTATAGCATATCTGTAAGCAACGATAAACCGTTGTTTACAAAAAAAATGATTCTAAGTTCTCAGTTCAGTTGATAGTAATGATTTGTCAACAATAAATAACCCATAGGTATGTTAAACATAAGTCATACATAAGTCAGTAGTAAAATAATTAAATAGACATTATATATTTTCTTTAATAATATTTGTTTAATATTGTACCGATTTTCCCGTTTGTTCTGGTTTTTTACATTTGCTGGGAAAATGACCGCTCTAAAGTACCTTCTCAGTCAGATTTCCTTTAAGAAAAAGTGATTTCATTTTAAATCGGAGCCGAATTGCCGGCAGAAAAGTTGTACACCAAAAAAAAACCATACTTTTTTTCTACTAATACCTAAATTTTGTACATTGTCTGTTTTCAGATATTTTATCCCGGTATTTTATCAAAAATTAAACCCCTCTAATTACCATGGAAATAAAACTTTCTTTCAGAAAATAAGCTACACTTGACATACCGGAACAAGATTTCTGATAGAAAAGTGCACAACAAATCGAAGAGTACTTTGCGATTAAAATAGTCTGAGCGAGCTATTGCTTGGGCTCTAGACACCTAAATTCTTTATTTAGGTAAAAGGCAGAAAAAAATGCATAACATTTCGTTCAAAACCCGGGTTTGAACTCGGGAGTCGTATGGTGATAATAGGTATATATCACCACTAGATCACGATAAATATACTTTACAGAAGACAATATAGAGTTATTTAACATAACATAAAATATCTGCATAATAATAGAACTTAATATAAAAAGTTATAATTTTGATGCTTAGTTTGTTCGCTCAATTCTGACTTTACAGTTGTTCTTGAATCGACAATATACGTGTTTAGAAAAAAAAAAAAAAAAATTGAAAAATTAGATTTGTTCCACATAATTTTTTACTTAAACGATTTTCGTAAAAATTTGATAATAAAATTCTTTAAAAAAAAAAATACTACATTAAACTCAATTTTTTTTTGTCCACAAAACAAGACTCTTAATGAACCCCCTGTTAAATTGTCAAGCATTTCTGTTCAAGTCTAACGATTTTACCACAGAGTACCAACGAATAAAAATTACGCACAAAATTCGCAAAATTAAAATGTCTATAAATAGTATAAGAATGGCTCAAATGTTTTAAATATCTGACCATGTCTATAAAATCAAATATTAATTGTGTGTCCAAATTTCAAGTCTAAGAAAATTTTTAGCTGAATTAGATCAAATAGCAAAATTTAAAAATAATATAAGTATTATTTTCGTAAATTTCCCGTTTTCCAAACGTTTTATTCTAGTTTTTCCCAGATTTCAACTGCACGGAGAATCAAAAAATGACCTACCAAAAGAACCACCTTCAAAACATTCCCTTTCAGAAATGGAGCCGCGCGTAATAAATATCTGTGGGAGAATTCTGGTAGAATTTTTGTAAACAGTATATATATAAAAAAAAAAAAAAAATAATAGAAACAACTTAGTAAAACATTCTTCGCTACACTGGGAATCAAAAATGTTATGAAACTGACATTTTGTATTCACACTAGTAATCATCTATCGATGAAATCCTTGGAAAAAAAAAATTGATTTTTGAAAATTTTTAATGGCTTATTTTTGTTACCTAAATTTCATTCTCAGATCACTGTGCGATACCCGTGGGCACTGTCTATCGTTTGTGTGTGTAACTTGTTTTAATATTCATTTTACAATAATTACGCTGTTAATTAACTGTGTGGCTCTATTATACGAACATCTGCCTTCAATTTTTTATAATTTGCAATATGTTACAATTTATAATTATAACGATCCTATAACGACGAAATTAAAAATATGTTTATGCAATTAACATTTTTTGAATTATTAATAGGCAGGTATTATTCATTTTCTAAGTAAAGTACATTCATATTATTTTTTAAATGAAACTAGTGTAGATTGGTGTAGCGTATTGCGAATATTGTGTACCTATAATCAACAAAGAGTCTACAAAATGAAAATAAATCGATTGTTAACAACGTCGGTAAGCATTTTTGAGTAATTTTTTTTTTTTTTAATATATGTTAAAATTACGAATGAAATTATATTTTAAATTCTGAATGGAGTGAAGAAGCTTATGGCTTTACAAAGATGTTTATTTTTTTTATTATAATTATAATAATTTTTTTTTTTTTCTATCAGTAAACAACTTTTTTTACAAACAATTTTGATCTAACTTTTAATGGTAGCAATATTTCTAAAAGTAAATTTTACTAGGGACATACTCTAAAGAGGTCATTTTTTCGATTTTTTCATCAGTTTTCCAAACAAATGCGAAAAACCGAGATAAACATGGGAAAACCGGGTAAAAGATAGGAAAAATGGGAAAGTCGGTACCGCATTAAACAAATATTATTAAAGAATATATATAGTTGCTATTCAATTATTTTAATATAATATGCCAAATATATTATTGACAAAGCATCACTATCAACTGAACTCCGCTTAGAATCGTTTTTTGTAAGCAATGTTTTATCGTTGCTTACAGGTATGCATTTAATTACTATATGCATCCTATCTTTCTAACTTTTTACCTACGCCAGTGGCAGCGTCCGTCCCCATCTTACCTTTTTTTAAAAAATAATTAAGTTTACGCGAAACGTCGCATTTTCTAACTGCAATGCAGCCACTGTTGTAGGTGAGAAGTTGAAAAGGTAGGATATTGATAGAAATTTAATATAAATCTGTAAGCAAGGATAAACCATTGCTAACGAAAAAACGATTCTGAGCGGAGTTCAGTTGATAATGTTGCTTTATCAACAACACAATATATGGTATTTATCATATGATGGTAAAATGATTACAACAATGTGCGTTTATACGACAACAATGATTGTTTAATTGCGGGTTGAATTTTTACCCCAAAAAACCTATTATTACTACATTTCTTTAGTTATACCTAGTCATTATTTGGGCAATCTTTTCGAGAGTCGTGACCGATATAAATACCATAACAATTTACCACGAATCTCAGATGTTCACTGGTGATGTTGGCAAAACTAAATTTTCAACCCCCTCACATGCCATTAAGTTCTGCGCATGCTTATGCTGTAATTGAAGAATGTCAGATTTGTCAATAGTGTGTATCAAGTCTGAAATATTTAAAGATATAAAGGAAAAAGAACTTGATCATAAATTTGCTAGATCAAATAAAATCAATGGAAGAAACGTTTTTTTTTTTTAATAAGACTTTTATAAACATTATAAGTTTCTTTTTTACATTACATTGTATTCATTTACCTATAGGCCATAAATATCAAAATATATATGTGTGTGTGTATACAATTTATATTGCGTATTGTTTAATGTTCAAAAACAGTTGAATTATAAAATAATATAATAATGTTTTAAATTTGTAGTTTTTTTTAGGGAACGAAAGTAATCAAATTTGTATTAAGTTGTTTCGCATAGTAGCATATAGTATTACATGTAATACTAAATATTATATTTTTTATATTTTGTATATGCTCTAGGGTGGATCTAAACTTTAATCCAGCCCTGTTCGTGAGAAACCCTGTTTACGGGATGCTCCACGAAAATATACTTCTTGAATAACTTTGGAGATAATATATATAATCAAATTCTGTTTTTTTTTTTTTTTTATTATAACTCATAAATATGAGGAGTACAAATACTTATTTTAAAATCAATTTTTTTTTTTTTTTAATAAACTATTTAAAAAAATAAGTTTATTTCATTATTAGCGGGAAATATTAAATAGCCATTCTGTAGAGTTTATTTTTTGAAAACTTTAACGTATCACACATTATTATCCCATGAAAATTAGGTAACAGCCGTTTTTAATTCTACTAATCCGTGTAAAAACCATTGCTATCTCATAAAGCGATTAGGTTATATAGCCACATAATGTATCGTTTTTCGTTAGCAAAGGTTAATCGTTGCGTATAGATATACATTATATTTCCCCTATATCTACCGAACTTCTCACTTACAACAGTGGCCTATCCAAATGCAAAGTATTTCCGTCTTTTTTTATTATATAATGATATCGTTGTATCTGTAAAGTATAGAAGTGTTTTGTAATTTAAATCAATATTAATGTTCGTATTTTGTTTAAAAATAACTCATCAAAATTCTAGTACCTACCTAATATCGAATTTATAGATTTTTATAATCTCCCTTTTCCAATTATAATAAATATTATGTATATACTAAATACATACTAAATTAATTAGGATTCTTTAGCTATAATATTTTTAAATTACGTGGATAATAATTTAAGTGTATATTATAATTATATATTCTTTAAATGTCTTCTTTTCTTTTGCAAAACTAGGTTATGATACTGATGATACAATTATACCGTGTGGAAGCCCAAAACCAAGAAAAAAAGCTATGTTCTTCGTCGATGGAATACCTATTCGAAAATGATTTTGATAAAAAAAAAATTGCATACATTTTCAATGAACAGCAGAGACTTAGTAGGTCCAGGAAAATTTTTAAGGGAAAACCGCCAAAGCCGTTTTTGGCAGAGACGCTACACGAACAACTTGTCGATCGTTATAAATCTGGAAAATGCCAACAACAAATTAAAGATTTTAATGTATTTAATGAAATGTATACAAAACAGATTCCATATGAAAAGGACCTAAAGTGCGATTGGATCAGACCTAAAATACCAAATACATTAGAAGGTATATGCGAGCGTGGTATTGGGCAATATTTATTGCAGCACGGAACTCGTGTGTACCACCATTTTCTCAAATATTTAGCACGACATCCGAATAGAAAGAACGAAAAAAAGATTCCAAAAAAAGATCAAAAACATTGGATAAATTATAAAAAATGGATAGAACGGTTGTCAAAATGTCCGGTTTTAGGAAAAGGTTTTATGTTAATAGGAGAACAATATATCAATGCGTATTACTACAGAAAGGGTTGCAATACTATTGTACACGTTTATAATGCCTTTTATGATTTTTTCATGGAAAAATATAAAAATATTAATCCAGGAAAAAAATATAATTATATTCGCCATAGTTGTGATTTGTTCCAACGGCTAAATTCCACTCATCGCTTTATGAAAAAATGAGAAAATTTTTCCGATAAATCAAAAGAGAAGTAGATCTAAAATTAGATAATTCTCATTTATAGTTAACCATTATCTTTGTCACCTTGACTTTAGAAGGGAGTGAAACAAAAAATTAGCTTTAATATTCGTATAGTACCCTATAATAATAATTTAATAAATAGATGAAATTTTAGTTTTTATGCATTTTGGTGTTCCTATATAAAATTTCTGTTAACCCGATAACGCGATGTTCCATTTTAAAGTATAGGCAGTGGAAAAGTAATGCACTCATCGTTTATACCATTGTCTTGTGAGGCGAGGTGTTTGAATTATACTCCACTGCTCTCCCATTACCCAATCGTATATGTGGAGTTTGGAATCTCATCTAAGATTTTTGCGGAAATTAATAAATGTCAACTTCAAGTATATTTGCTAAAAATATTATATTTTATTAAAATATAAATAATTAATAATTTAAAATTTAGTTAACTTTATCTGTTGATTTTTTTTACACGTATGACTGCCATATACAACGTTTAAAACTACATGTTAATTGTATTATTGTCGGAAGTTAAATTTAGTGTGTATTAAATATACTTTTTTATTATTGAGTTTGATGAAATAAATAATAAACATTTAGAAACATAACTTATGCATTTTTATTTCTGAATATTTGTCTTTTGGTTCAGTTTTATTGTATGTTTTATATAATTATAGTTAAAGACTGGATTTAATTAATATGTTAACTTTTTTTGTAATAAAGATAAATCAGATCTGATTAAATNTAATTGTATTATTGTCGGAAGTTAAATTTAGTGTGTATTAAATATACTTTTTCATTATTGAGTTTGATGAAATAGATAATAAACATTTAGAAACATAGCATATGCATTTTTATTTCTGAATATTTGTCTTTTGTTTAAGTTTTATTGTATGTTTTATATAGTTATAGTTAAAGACTGGATTTAAATAATATATTAACTTTTTTTGTAATAAAGATAAATCAGATCTGATTAAATATGAGGCCGATATAAACTAAAAATATTCGCTTTTTATATTGATAGTTTTAATTAGTTTTAAATAAGAATAATCATAGATAAGTCCGTTTAAGGTTCATATTATTAGATTAATTTATTATTTTATTTTTTATTTTGCCTTGTCAAACAGTTGTGACATTCATAATTGCATACTGTTCTATTTTTTCTACATTATCATTTTGTTCCGCAGAATTTTTTTGGCGTGTGAACCTTACAAGATTGCCCTCGTCGATGCTTCTATTTCAGTTGCGCGCAGAGAGCACGATTATCTCACTTAAAGTTTTCCTAGGATCTTGTAAATTTGGACCTGAAACTGATTACTAACTTGTTACTAAATTTAATTTAATTTTGGGAAAGAAAAGGTGACAATAAACGTACTCAAAATCAAGTTTGACTATAATTCCATTCTCACATACCATTTTGTATAGATCGTGCTACGTTTTTTAATTCCACTCCAATGTGAAAGAAATATTTGTTTTAGCTTAGTCAACATGTGAATTACGAGTTACTACGATGACAAGAACATCAACTGTGAGAGATTTGGGCAATTAGATCCACATTATATAGGAATCCAGATATTTCTGAAATTTCTAATTTGTCTAAATTTCGATATTTTCAATGTATAATCATTACATATACAATACCCGCACAATATAACATAAATAATATAATACCAGGATGTAAAAATATATTATTTCGATGCAATATACAACTAAGTGTTACATAAAATCGATAATCTAATTTTTGCATAATTAAATGAGTGTAATAATAAGGGTAAAATAGTTGAAACAACAACAAAAAAATATCATCGACTTTTGAAAAAACTTATAATTGGTCTTAATCTCGTACTTAAAAGATATAATGAAAGTTATACATTGTGGTGGAAGGGCTAGTGCAATCCAATAGTAAAACCTAAACATCTTTATGACTGTACAACGTCATAATAAAATCATAGTAACGGTGACATAGTTAATATTCTATAATTTCCGAAAACTGGTTAAATAATATTTAATAAAAATTTATCATTAAATAATATACTAAAGTTTGAAAAAAATTTGTTTATGCATCTCACGGAAGGTAAATGCAAGATTTAACATTTTTCTTAGGAGATAACAAAACAGATTAAGGATTGATGTATTTCACAATACATTATTAAACCGTAACTTCATAGTAGTGATCTACTCCACGAGTACAAAAAAGGTATTTATTAAGACTCTACCCACATTAACCACATTACACACACAACATTATACGAGTTATTAATATTTACGTAAAGAAAAAAAAAACTTAACAAGTCCGTTTTTTATGGTTTACATTCAAGTTTTTAATTTATGACGTGATTGTAAAATGGCCTCTTTTTTTTCATTTTTTTTTTACTGACGTATTTCCTATTCAAATTTTAATAGATAAATGACGAATGTATTTCACTTATAAATTTATGAACGGTGATTTACCAGTAAGAATGTACAACACTAAAATATACGTTTTTGTACAATTTTGTTTCTTAAATAATTATGGTATACGTAATATTTAAGCAATTGTGGATATGTGAAATTAAATTTACATTCGAAATACGTTCGCAAAAAATGTGTGAGCTCGTAGTAAGTATCCACGAATAATATCAATATACACATATCGCCTGTGTGTTAAATCACTTGTATACATTTTACAATAATTATTATTAACTGTGGTTCTAATGCACGAACATCTGTCTTTAGTGTTTTTGAATTTTAAATGTATAGTTTTACGTTTTAAACGAAACTAATAATGTGTGTTGACGTTTTTAGTTGATGGACCGGTGAATACCTATTTTTAAAACAATAATACATTCCATATATTTTAATTAAACCACCTATAGTGTAAATTGGTATCACATACTGTGAAAAATGTGTACATACGATAAACGAATAATGTGCAAAATAAATAAAAGTCTTTTGTTAACATCGTTGGTAAGTTTGTTTGAAGTTTCTGACTTATTTTTTTTATGAAATATATAAATTGTCAATCTGAAGATATTTCTACGGTTTTCAAAAATATTTCCTTTTACAATATCTTAATCTTCTCCTTTGCCTTCATCCTATCTTTTTAAAGGTCAGCTAACCCCGTGCTAAATTTCTGCTCGAACCGATCTACCACATCGCATTCATAAACTGCCATCACTAATTCAAAATCACATCTAATCGTCGCTTTTTCATTTTGCCTCACTACCTCTTTCTGAAACTATTTTTTCTGCTTTTGTCTACTATTGAAGCCACTTCTAAACTATTTCTCATGTCTTCGGCCCTATCATTCCTTGTCAATCCAGTGACTCCTCTCATTTAGCGAAAAATTTTCAGCTCTGTTATATTCATTCTCGGTTTATCATACAACACATTAAGTAATATTAAAATCTTTTGATTCCGATTTTTAAAAAAATTTTGTGTCAAAACTAACAAGATCTTGACAACAACTATAACACAACCCAAACTAAGATTTGGTTAATTATTTTTTAACAATTTTTATTGTTTTGTGAAACATTATACTTTTGGAAAGGGAACTTAAATTTTTAAATAGTCAATTTTATTTGTCTATGAGATATTAATGATAAAAATAAAACTGTCACCTTGGGCCGTAATCAGGCGACGCACAGTAGTGTAATTATGAAATTTTAGGTAGTAAGAATGGGCTGATAAAAATGTTCAAAAATCTATTTTTTTTTTCTAGAATCTTATAATTAGGTNCGATAAACCGTTGTTTACAAAAAACAATTCTAAGTGCAGTTATGTTGATAGTTATGCTTTGTCAACAATATATAGGTATTTTAAACATAAGTCAGTGGTGAAATAATTAATTATGCATAATATATTTTCTTTAATAATATTTGTTTAATATTGTACCGTTCTTCCCGTTTTTCACATTTGCTGGGAAAACTTTTTGGGAAATCGAAAAATGACCTATCTAAAATACCTTCTCAGTAAATTACTTTTTTGGAAAAAGAGCTTTAGTTTTAAGTTGCTGGAAGTTTAGTTGTACACAAAAACGAGAAGAAAATAATAAAATAAAAAGGTCTATTAGATTTAAAGAAAAAATGTGCGTTTACAAAATCTAAAATATTTTTTTTTATACTTTTGATATAATAAAAAAAAATTGTTATTATTACTAAATTTATGTAGTTATGCCTAGTCATTATTTGGGCCATCGTTTCGAGAGTCCTGACCGATATAAATACCATAACAGTTTACCACGAATCTCAGATGTTCACTGTTGATATTGACAAAACTAAATTTTCAAATCCCTCTCCTGCCATTAAGTTCTGCGTATGCCTATGCTTTTGTTGAAGAATGTCAGATTTGTCAATAGTATGTATCAAGTCTGGAATATTTAAAGAAATAAAGGAGAAAGAGCTTGTTCATAAATTTGCTGTATCTAATAAAATCAATGGAAGAAACGTTTTTTTTTTTAAAAAGACTTTTATAAACATTATAAGTTTCTTTTTTACATTACATTATATCAATTTACCTATAGGTCATAACTATCATAATAAATATATGTGTGTATATACATTTTATATTGCGTATAATTTAATATTCAAAAACAGATAAATTATATAATTATAAAATGATGTTTTGAACTTGTAGTCGTTTTAGTAGGTAACGAAAGTAATCAAATTTGTATTAAGTTGTTTTGCATATTTATATAGCATTACAAGTAATATATGTACTTTTAATGGAACCATGATAACAGTACAAAATATGCATAGTAAATTTTTTTATATATTGCATATGCACCGGGGTAGCTCCAATCTTTATTCCGGTCTTGTTTATGAGAATCCCTAAATATGGGCTGTTCCACGAAGGTATACTTCTTGAATATCTCTGGAGATAATATATTTAATCGAATTTCGTTTTTTTATTATTATTTCCCATAAATATGAGGAGTAGAAATACTTAAATCCGTTTTAAATTCTACTTATCAGTGTGAAACCATTGTTATGGCACAACGTAATTTGGTTATATAGCTATATAATATATCGAATTTCGATGGCAATGGTTAATTGTTGCGTACAGAAATACATTAAATTTCCCCTCTGTCTACCTAACTTCTCACTCACAGCAGTGGCCTACCCACCTGCAAAGTATGTCCATTTTGTTTATTATATAATGTTGACATTATAACTGTAAGTCGTAGAAGAGTGTTATAATTATAATTATAATTAATGTTCGTGTTTTGTTTAAAAATAATTCATCGCAATTCAAGTACCTACCTAATATCGAATTTATGGATTTTTTTTAATCTCTTAAATCTTTTCAACTATAATACATACTATATATCTACTAAAAAAATATTAAATTAATTATGATTCGTCGGCGATATTACTTTAAAATTACTTGGATAATAATTTAAGTGTATATTATAATTATATATTCTTTACATGTCATTATTTCTTTTGCGAAACTAGATTATCATATTGATAAAACAATCTTACTGTATGGAAGCCCAAAACCATGAAAAAAAGTTATGTTCTTCGTTGACGGAATACCTAATTGAAAATGATTTTGATAAAGACAAAATGGTATACATTTTCAATGAACAGCAAAGACATAAATGTTTCCAGGGATTGGTGGGAAAACCACCGTTATTGGTAGAGACGCTACACAAACAACTCGTTGACCGTTATAAATCTGGAAAATGCCAACCACAAATTGATGATTATAATTTATTTAATGAAATGTACACAAAACGGAATCCATATACAAAAAACTTAAAGTGCGATTGGATCAGACCTAAGATACCAAACACATTAGACATTATATGCAAACATGGTCTTGGCCAATATTTTTTGCAGCATGGCACTCGTGTGTACCACCATTTTCTTAAATATTTAACACAAAAAAAAAATAGCAAGAACGAGAAAAAAATTCCCGAAAAAGAACAAAAACAATGGATAAACAATAAAACATGGATAGAATACGTGTCAAAATTACCATTTGTGGGGAATAATGTTATGTTAGTAGCAGAACATTATATCAATGCGTACTACCATAGGAAGGATTGCGATATGATTGTAAACGATTATAATGCCTATTATGATTTTTTCATGGAAAAATATAAAGACATTCATCCAAATAATAAATATAATTATTATCGTGAGAGTTGTGATTGGTTCCGGAGACTAAATTCCCAACATAAATTCATCGAAGAACTTATAAATTAAATACATTTTAGTGTTGACATTTTAAATTTCTGTCAACCCGAAACAGCGATATCCCATTTTAATGTATAGGTTGTGGGAAAGTAATGCAGCACTCATCGTTTATATCACGGTCTTGCGGGACGAGGTGTTTGAATTATATTCCACTGAACTCACTTTGCCCAAACGTATAAGTGGAGTATGATATCTCAATTAAGATTTTTGCGGAAATTAAACAATGTCGACTCCAAGTATATATATGCACCAAATATTATATTTTATTACAAGAATAATAATTAATAATTTAAAATATAATTAATTTTATCTGTTGATTTTCTTTACACGTATGACTGCTATATACAACATTTAAAACTGCATGTTAATTTTATTATTGTCTGTAGTTAAATTTAGTGTGGATTAAATATACTGGGTTTTGTTCCATTATCCATTTTAACGAAAATAAAAATAAAATATTAGAAACATTACTTACGCATTTTTATTGCTTTATATTTGTCTTTTGGTTCAGTTTTATTTTCTGTTTTATATAGTTAAAGACCGGATTTAATTGATATTGCAACTTTTTTTGCAATAATTATAAATCAGATCTGATTAAATATGTAGCCGANATTCCGTTTTTATATTGATAGTTTTAATTAGTTTTAACTACGAAAAACCATAGATAAGTCCATATTAGGATAATATTATTAAAGTCGTTTATTATTTTACTTTTTAATTTTGCCTCGTCGATGCTTTTATTTCGGTTACACGCAGAGAACACTATTATCTTAGTTAAATTTTTAATGGCTTATTGTAAATTTAAACCTGAAACCGATTACTAAGTAATTACTAAATTTAATTTAATTTTGGGGAAGAAAATGTGACAATAGACGTACTCGAAATCAAATTTGTCTATAATTCCATTCTTACAACCCATTCCGTATAGATCGTGCTTTGTTTTTTAATTCCACTCCGATGTGAAAGAAAGATCTGTTTTAGCATTGTCAACATATAAATTGCGAACTACTATGATAACGCAAACTGCTGCGGGAATTTTGTTTTGGTGTTGATTCATCATCATACCGGCTAACAGATTATTTAGTTTTTCACGAGTTTCTTATTTAATTGCACGCACATATTCGTCCCTATCTGAAACACATTATAGAAAATAAATTTTATTTTTATTTTGTAGTAGTGAAATAATTAAAGAACAAACTTCATAGTCAGTTTGAATACCTGTATGATTTTTAAGATCATCCTCGAACTTATAGTATGAATAAAACCATTAGAAGTTGCGATCCCCACTCAAATTTATCAATCAATTTTTATTGTTCGTCTGTAGTCAAGTGTGTTTTGGAAGGTACGAGCTGAACGCATATACATTTTAGCTAAAACTAATTTTAACCGACTTTTTCTAACCTGCGGTTCATTCTAGTTTTAACTCATCAATACCAGAAATGACTAGAGGGATTTGTGGAATCTAGGTTTGATGGATTTTAACTGCAACATACATATACATTTTGGGCAATTGGATTCAGATTAAACAGGAATTCAGATATTTCTGAAATTTTTGATTTGTCTAAATTTCAATATTTTGTTTAAATAAATTTCAATTATTTTAATAATTTCAATATTGCATGGGTTTATCATTAATAAATATTGGAGAATACTATAAATAATATAATACCAGGATGTAAAAATATATTATTAGCTACGTTACATGTTGTTGATTCACAACGTATTAATCGATAACCTAATTTAAGCATAACGCATTAGTGTAATAATAAGGGTAAGGTAGTTGAAACAACAACAAAAGAATATCATCGTTGTTTGAATAAACAAATAATTGGTCTTAATCTCGTACTTAAATGATATATCTCTGCAAATATCTAGAAGATAGGAATATATAGGGGAATGTGGTTTGGAATAGCTAGTCCAATCCGATAGACCAACTAAATGTCTTTATGACTGTACAATGTCATAAAGACATTATAGTAACGGTGACATAGTTAATATTCTATAATTTTCGAAAACTGGTTAAATAATATTAAATAAAAATTTATCATTAATTAATGTACTAAAGTTTGAAAAAAAGTTGTTTATGCAACTTATAGAACTTAAAAGTAAGATTAACATATTTTTTAGGAGAGAACAAAACCGATTATGAATTGATGTATTTCTCAATATCTAAGTAAACGGTAANGAATACTATAAATAATATAATACCAGGATGTAAAAATATATTATTTCGATGCAATGTACAACAACTAAGTGTTGCATAAAATCGATAACCTAATTTAAGCATAACGCATTAGTGTTATAATAAGGGTAAGGTAGTTGAAACAACAACAAAAGAATATCATCGTTTTTTGAATAAACAAATAATTGGTCTTAATCTCGTACTTAAATGATATAACTCTGTAAGTATCTAGATGAGAGGAATATATAGGGGAAGGAGGTTTGGAATAGCTAGTCCAATCCGATAGACCAACCAAATGTCTTTATGACTGTACAATGTCATAAAAACATTATAGTAACGGTGACATAGTTAATATTCTATAATTTCCGAAAACTGGTTAAATAAAATTAAATAAATATTTATCATTAAATAATGTACTAAAGTTTGAAAAAAAGTTGTTTATGTAACTTATAGAACTTAAAAGTAAGATTAACATATTTTTTAGGAGAGAACAAAACAGATTATTAATTGATGTATTTCACAATATCTTAGTAAACGGTAATTTCATAGTGATGATCTTATTGACGAGTACAAAAAAGATTATTGTGAAACTTTACCCAAAGGACACATTCCACACACAACATTATACGAGAAATTAATATTTACGTAAAGAAAAAAAGACTTAACAAGTCTATTTCTTATAAATTTGAGTTTTTAATTAATGACGTGATCGAAAAATGGCCTGTCTTTTATTATATTTTCTTTTTTTTAACTTTCGTAACTGATTTTCAATTTTTTTTTTAGATAAATGACAAACGTATTTCACTTATAATTTTATGAAAATTTGTTTACTAGTAGAGTTATATAACACTACGGTATAAGTTTTTGTATAATTTTGTTTCGTATTTAATTATAGTCTACGACATATTTAGGCAATTTTGGAGATGTGAAATTAAATTTACATTTAAAATACATTCGCAAACAATGTGTGAGCTCGTAGTCAGTATCCACGAATAATAAAAATATACACCTATCGCCTGTGTATTAACTCATTTGTATTATTTTAAAATAACTAATATTCACTGTGGTTTATTGTACGAACATCTGTCTTTAGAGTTTTTGAATTTTAAATAAATAGTTTTACATTTTTAACGAAATAAAAATTTGTGTAACGTTTTTAGTCGATGGGCAGGTTAATACCTATATATAAAACGGTAATCCAGTCCATATATTTTATTTAAACTACCTATAGTGAAAATTGGTATAACATACAGAGAGAAATTGGTACCTACGATCGACGAATAATGTGCAAAATAAATAAATATCTTTTGTTAACAGCGTTGGTAAGTATAATTGAAGTTTATGGCTTATTTTTTTTTATAATATATAAATTCTCAATCCGAAGATATTTCTACGATTTTCAAAAATATTTCCTTATACAATATTTTACTATTCTCCTTTTCCTTCATCCCATCTTTTTAAAAGTCAGCTACCGCCGTGCAAAATTTCTGCTCGAACCGATCTACCACATTGCGTGCATCGACTGCCATCAAATAATTGAAAATCACATCTAATCATCACTTTTCTCTCTGACTATCTACCTCTTTCTTCCTACATTTATTTTCGTTACAATATTTACCTCATCAGATTCCTTGTGACCCTATCTCTGTAACATGATGCTCACACCATATGAAACTATTTTTTCTGCTTTGTTCTACTATTGAAGCCACTTCTAAACTATTTCTCATGATTTCTGCCCTATCATCCCTTGTCAATCCAGTGACTCCTCTCATTTACTTAAGCATTTTCAACTTTGTTACATTCATTCCCTGTTTATCATACAACACATTAAGTCATATTAAAATATTTTGAATCCGATTTTTAAAAAGAGTTTTTGTCAAAACTAACAAGTTCTTGACAACAACTATAACACAACCCAAACTAATATTTGGTTAATTATTGTTTAACAATTTTTGAAGTTTTGTAAAACATGATAGTTTCGGAATGGGTACTTAAATTTTTAAATAGTTAATTTAATTTGTCTATAAGATAATAGTGATTCAAAAATATTGTACAATTATATAATGTCAAATTAATTAAAACTGTGAGTCGTATCATTTATCGATCATCAAATATAATTTATAGTCAGTAAAATAAGTAATAAAAATTAAAATGTTAACATATTTTAAAAATTGATTTAAAATACCTCTAAATTATTCAACCTAATTTATAATTTTAATCACTAATCATATTTTTTTATTTTAGTTATAGAGTAATAACATATAATAAAAAAAGACATCCTAGGATAATGAGAACGTGTTAAGCCATTGGTATAGGTAATTTAATGTTAACATGTAAACAACGATATGGCATCATTGTTAACGAAAAAATGATTTTGAGCGAATATCTGTCGAATGTGATGCTTTGATAAAAATATATTTCATATTATTGTAAAATAATTACACATGCATTATACATTTTCTCAAAACTCTAGAAAAAATCAAAAATTGAACACCATAAAATACCACTCCAACCAGATTTCCTCTCAGAAAAAGTACAATCATTGTAAGTCAGAGCAAAATTGCTGCAGGTAAAATTTTTCCACAGTAAAAAATTAAAAAATATAATTATCCTTATAAAACTAACATAATCATCGTTCCACTCAGAATCTAAAACATAAACACATAGTAGACACATATGAATTATTAAAATATGCATCTATGTATGCGTGTACCTATCACTTGCACAAACATCTACCTTAATTTTTTATAATATACAGGGTTATAATATAAAATGATTTTACGATTTTAATGGAATTAAAAATGTGTTTATGCTGTTGATATTATTTAATTGATATGCAGGGGAGTAATTATTATTAACAGTTATGTAAATTCATATTATATCCATATTGTATTTATGTTGAACGTTTTTAATTTTTTTTTTTTTATTTATAATATATTTATTCTTCAGAAAAATATTGAGGACATTAATTTTGAAAAAGATTAAAATATGAAAAGTTTAGAGTTGATTTGAATATTCTATGATTATTGTATAATAAATAATGATAAAAAAAAAATCAACGAGGTGAGCGCGGCGNGGTTAAATTAAGTATAAATTCAAAATACAATATTACAATATTTTCACTTTTTCAATGTTTGAATAGATTATGTACTGAAGGAAAATCAATGATTTCACCTGAAACGGTGTCCACGACCCGGGTATCCCTGATGTAATTCCTGGTGTAGAGCTCTCCGCCAGGTTTTTATAGTAAAAAAAAATTTCGTTGTTTTTCTGTTCTTTGGACCTGTAATTCATACGACTCTGCCTGTCCTCGTAGACAACTGAAGTCCGGGGACCATAACATGTACAGAATGATTCTGGATTAACTTAATCCATTTTTGCCTAAACTTGTCTGGAAATATTTAAAATTATATATAATAAATATATAATTGTATACATTAATAAAATTTAATTTCATATTAATATATCTACTGATACATTTGTATATTAATAACATTATAATTGCCCTTTAAGCGTCATATCATAGAAGTCGAATTATAACAATTATCACCAAATATTTATTATATATGTAATAATTATCAAATTAAAATATTTGAAAAAATTAATTTATCAGGTTTATGGTTGATTTAATTGTCGGTTGTCTTATTTTTAATTTTTACTAGAAAGGACTATACGCTACGAATACAGAAATGTCGTATAATTACACTGTATTTAATTTATATGAAAATACTTTCTAACTAAACTGAAAACGGAGTTTTTTACCTACTTTGTACGGGCCGCAATCAGTTTATGAGAAAGAAAAGGTCACTTTGGGCCGTATTCAGGCAATGCAAAATAGGGTGAGAATGAAATTATAGGTAGTAACAATAGGCCGATAAAAATGTTCAAAAATCTATATTTTTTTTCTAGGATCTCATAAGTAGGTGATTACTAGTGTATATACAAAATTTCAATTAAAATTTATAATGTACATCGGTAAGCAACGATAAACCGTTGTTTACGAATAACACACCTAAGCGCAATTCTGTTGATAGTTATGCTTTGTCAACAATATATAAGTCATAGGTATATTAAACATTAGTCATACATAGGTCAGTGGTAAAATAATTAAATGGGCATTATATATTTTCTTTAATAATATTTGTTTAATATTGTACCGATTTTCTGGTTTTTCACATTTGCTGGGAAAATTTTTTGTGTAAATCGAAAAATGACCTATTTAAAATACCTTCTAAGTAAGATTTCTTTTTTAGAAAAAGAGTTTTAGTTTTAAGTCGGTACCAAGTTGCTTGCAGAATATTTGTACACAAAAAAAAAAGACAATAATTAAATAAAATAGGTCTATTTGATTTACAGAAAAAATGTGTAATATCAAAATCTAATACATTTGTTTTTATAATTTTAATGTACAAAAATAAAATATAAATATTTAAGTAAATATGGTACTTATTAAAAAAAAAAAACTTAAAATTATTCTTTATTTAATAGATAAAAAGTTATTCAATATTTTATATACCTTTAATACCTTGTACATGTAGGGTTCTCACTAGTATGATATTTACCCATTGTGACATTTCCAGCGCTAATAATGATAATCAAATTTGGGTTTTTATAGTACTCAAAGAAAACAAGTGTACAGTAAAATTTTTTAATAACCATTCTGTAGAGTTTATATTTTTGAAAATTTTAATGTGTCATACATTTAAATCTTATGAATATTTTCTATGTAACCGCCGTTTTAAATTCTACTAATCCGTGTGAAAACCGTTGTTATCGCATAACGCGATTAGATTATATCAGGCGCGGTTCTAGGACTAAATTTTCGTTTGGGAACAGTAGATTTAAAATTAGGTTTTAACTGCAAATAATATTCCTCATTTCCT